ATGAATGGTATTTTAGGACAGATAAAAACCCAACAGTTAAAGTTTTATATACACTTTTGGCCATGTTAAATATGACACTAAATATTCATATAAAATATTTTTGCCCTAGAATCATGACAGTCATAAAAATAAGAAATATAAGCATCACAGTTACAAATGGTGAATATGTAAAACAAAACGTAAATTTGAAGCCATTGTTTATAAGCTTCGTTTCAATTATACCTTAATTCCAAGACCCTGGGTTAAGCTACGTACTTTCTTGAAATGATCTGCCTCAAAAAGAACAAAGGACTGGAAATCATATCTGAGGCTCTTCATACAGCCTGCCAAGTTTGTGTAACGGTGTGAATTTACACGGAGAAGCCTGCGCCTTCTCCCTGGAGACTCTATCGATACTTATAACAGGGGTCTTCAGATAAATGAATGAAAAAAGCTGAAACTATCAGAGGCTAGTAAGACTGACTGGCTCTAATGAGTGTATTGTAATTACCAACAATATTAGAATGGAAGAACACAGAATGCTGTAATGAAGAATAATAAATGTCAGTGATTACCCTGGAGTGAGAGAATATTAAGAACAAGAAGGGCATTGATAAATTTTCAGAGCCTTTAATTAATACTATAAAATATATTACAATTAAACCCAATAGATAATTTAGATTTTTTCAAAGACAATTCTCATAATGTAACTCTAGAATCACATAATTTTGATTGTTGCATCTGTGGATTTGTCATAAGTTACAAAGACATTGCTTATTTAATTTCATTCATGACCCTAGCCATTTTGGCTCAATGGATAGGGTGCCAGCCTATGGACTGAAGGGTCCTGGGTCTGATTCTGGTCAAGGGCACATGCCCAGGTTGCAGGTTCAATCCCCAGTAAGGGGTGTGCAGAAAACAGTGGATCAGTGATTCTCTCTCATCACTGATATTTCTCTCTTCCCTCCCTTTCTCTCTCTGTTATCAATAAAAATAAAAAATAAATATATTCTAAAAATTAAATAGATTTCATTCATGAATACATTCTTTATTATAATTCAATTTAGATGGCCACACATATTTACAGTTTGAAAATATTGAATGTTTAGGAAAATTTTAGCTTAAGACCAATAAACTCTGTATAGGAAACTTAGAAATAACAGGTAAATTAGATTTTTATGAATGTAAATAAACCCTAATCTTATATAAATTAAAATATTAATGCTACCAATTTGACACTGCAATAAAACCAAGGACTAGACATATAATCAAACTAGCTTAATATACAGAGATTCACAATTCCATCTAAGAGCACACCTGTCAGTGCGAAACTGGACTGAGGAGTCTGTCAAGTGAAAAAAGTCAATAATTTGTCTGGACTGGGGAATATATTGGTTCATGGTGACTTGCTCACTAGAGACTGAAGTTTGAACCCTTAACTAATTCTGGATAGGTCAGAATGAGTCCATAAGCCTGTAGGTAGTTGGTCAAATGGGTGCCATTTGTGATTAGTCAGGAAAAGTTTTCATTCGGGTTGGTATGAATCTGTCTGTGCTTCAGCTGTGAGATGCTCAAACGTCATGGTTTGTCAGCTTCGGTTGGTTAGAGCACATTCACTGAAATAATTTGAACGGTTTGAGTTCTTATAGCAAAGGTTTCATCTGACCAGAAAAATTTCCTTTTACTTCAGTGAGTATCCAGTTGCTATCATGTTATATCCCATTGGATAAGTTTACAAGAGTGGTGTAAGAGCTGAAACCGGTTTGGCTGAGAGGATAGTGTTGGCGTGCGGACTAAAGGGTCCCAGGTTTGATTCTGGTCAAGGGCATGTACCTTGATTGGGGGCACATCCCCAATAGGGAGTGTGCAAGAGGCAGCTGATCGATGTTTCTCTCTCATCGATGTTTCTAACTCTATACATCTCTCTTCCTCTCTGTAAAAAAAAAAATCAATAAAATATATATTTAAAAAAAATATATATAGAGAGAGGTGTAACAGTTTTATTTTAAAATTTCAATTTTATTTTGCCAGACATAATGAACTTAGCATCTAATTTAAACTTATGATGAATATATTAGATATTAAAATATAAAGTGTGTGAAAGTAAATATATATATTTATATTGAAAATTATAGAATATTTGAGCAAAAATGTCTGACGTTCTCTGTTTTAAGATAAATGTTGATTCCCTTGGGTTTTTCTTTGTAATACTTTTTGAGCTACTATTACAGAATGAGTAATTAGTAGTAATTACATTCAAGAGTTCAAATGTAACTCTTTGAACATGTGAATAAAAATGGAGAGGTTTAATTATGTGTTATTTAAAGTTTTGGAGTCAAGAGCATCATCAACTCTTGTTTTAAACAACATTAAATCAAACAGGGAGTCAGGCTATCATCAGGAGATACCCTTGCCCAAACCTCAGTTCCATCCATAAGTAGTAAAATAATTTTGGTTTGTTTTAAGTGAAGCCCTTTTTTTTCCTAGTTCCAGCCAAGGCTGTAAACTGAGTGTCATTTGGTACATGCCCTAGATTACAGAAAGAAAAGAGGCAACAAAGCTTTAGCTGCTAAGAATAAGTGTTGTTTAAACTTCATTTCAGAGCTCTTTTGGACTAAAAAAAAACTCACCCTCCCCTTCAATATCTCTCTAGGTTCTTAGTATTTATAATTCTAAAGTCAGATCTGACTTCGCGTCCCTATTTTCTTCTCTAATAGTGATGAACAAAATAGCCCTTAAAAATTAGGTAGTTGGAATTTGATTAGGGCATCTGTCAGTACCATAATATCAAGTGTGGGCCAGCTTTTAAATATGGGTAATTAGGAATCTGCTCTTTTTGCTGTATTGAGATCCCTGCCAAAATCTCTGCATTGCAGATGGCCTGTGGGAACTTGGTTGATGAAGGCCCCAATAGGGTTCTATTTATGTCTCCGTGTTGGACAATAATCCTGAAGCTAGGGCCTCTGTGACTCAGCCAGATTAGAATCCAAAACAAAGCACAGAGCTGATTACCACCAGGTTCATCTGCAAGGGACCCACCACAATGCTACCACAGAGTCTCTCGCCCGGCTCTGGCTGGCCTTGTTTGTTTCTGGTAGCCGCCTGGCTGTCAGGACTGTATCTGTGTCTCCCTGAAACCAGAGGCCAGTAGAAGGGTAGGCTAATACACTCTCCCTCTGTACTGTCAAATAGAGCATGGCTAGTCACATATGAGACCCTGGAGGACTTTGTCAGCCAGGTGGTGGAAAACATTCCTGTTGATAGGTCTTAGCAATCAAAGGACTCCTTCATTTATATACTGCATTATAAAGAACTTTGCAAGTACATTACCCCATTTGAATAATCTCATAACTACTTAGTGATATGGGAGAGATTTGTAGTATAATTACTATTTTCAGGTGAAGGGAAAAATTAGAAGGTGTAAGATTCCACCAGTCAATAACAAGATCCAGTGCCATCTCTCTATCAGCATCTATTTGATGTACAATCATTGATGTATGAATTGATGAAGTGGTGGCTGGGTAATAGCATTTGAGATGCTGCTTAACATTTCATACAGCTACATTCAACAGACCTCTAGTTGTGGCTTTGGCCGCTATCGTGCCAACAGTCCAACCTATTGATTTCCAACCACGTGGCATGTCTGTATTGCAGACTGAGTGAAATTAAAACGCTAGCATATTTGCATTGTCTTAGGGGTTGGAGGAGAGTGATGCTCTCTAGACCTTAAACACCTAACCCAAATTGCATGGAAATATGCATGAAGTTGGTAATTGCATCACAATGTGCTAGCAATGACTTTGTTCATCTGAAGACATGCATGCCATGTGTATGACGTTCACAGAGTTAAGCTAAGTTGTGGGGACCTGTTTAAGAACCATTACAGGGGCTTGTCTCAAAAAAGCAGTAATTCCACTGGACAGATAACACATGTGCACATAAAATAACAACTTAAGGAACTATTCACAAATGCCATGGGTAGGTACAAGTGGTTAGGCCTATGGTTTAGAATGGGAGTTCTTTAATGTGAATTAATTCTTTAAGTTAAAATTATCGGTAGACATTGAGCAAGACTTCTTCAGCCAGTGCTTTGGTAGCTTTCCTGCCTGTCATATTTTCTTTTGATCACTTGACAAAAGCTCTCTTTGAAAAATGTTTTGTTGTTGCTCTGAATTCATTTTTTTGGGGGGGGAGGGTGTTTTAGATTTCACAGGCGGATGGAGTAGATGAGCCTGGGGAAGGCTAAAATCACCCTTTGAGCATTACTGCATGCTTCTCTCTAGTCATTATGTAGGGAGAGGAGCCAAAAGCACCTCTTCTGTTCTTCCGTTTGTTCCTTTAAGAGGACTGAGTTTGCCATTCCCTTAATCTCATTGCTGATTGCTGGCGAAGAAGAACATCGAAAGCTGCTTGTTTTGAGTCCCAGCCTCCCAAAGGGATGATGAAAGTCTTTGAGTTTCTTTCTGCACCCTGGGACTTCTTCCACATCCTCATTTCCAGGCACTCGCTCTCTGATCCTTTATTTCTCTCCATGTGGGTTCTTAGATGTTACGGTTGTTCGAACTTCTGAGATGGATGACTGTTGTTATAGAGAACCATGTGAACCAATTGTGACTTTTGTTTTTAGTAAAAACATACTAGAACCACATTCTATTTGTGGGAAAATGCCATTTTCTGTCTTTCTGTGTGTGTGTGTGTGTGTGTGTGTGTGTGTGTGTGTGTGTGTGTGAGAGAGAGAGAGAGAGAGAGAGGGAGAGAGGGGGGGGAGAGAGAGACTTTGATAATTTTGAGTACTTAGTGGTACAGCAGATACTGGTACCTCTTTTGTAACGGTCAGATGACTTGGGAATAGGAAACTTTTGCATGGCAGAGGTGGAGAATGTAAGTGCTGAACGTGTCCCAGTTACCTTGAGTGGTGGGGTCAGTTCTGTCTCTATTCACGTCCTTGGACTTCAGGAGGGCAGATACATGCTGTGATTGAAGTGGTTTTAAATTTTCTATCTCTTGTCCTAACACCCCAGGGCTTTCAGCAGAAATTCTCCTTCCACAGTAAAGAGATTGTGGCTATCAGCTGTTCCTGGTGCAAGCAGGCGGTAAGTTGCGAGATGGAATAAAACAAAGTGGGCTCATGTTCTGTAAAAATAGACTTAGGTCATTGCTTGAATTCCTGTCTGTAAGTGGAAGGTAACCCAATGTATGTATTGTTTTCTTTACAAAGAGTTGTTGGAGGAAGAAAACATTTAAAACTATAGAATTATAGCACATATGAGCTGGAAGAAACTGGAGATGAATTAACCCCTTCATCTATACACATTGAATTCTGGGATCAGAGACTGGAGAATTCTTCCCTGGTTCTAACGCTAGGTCTAGAATCAAGGACTTCTCTCTTCGAGACCATATATAAAAATATATATATATATATATTTTTTTTTTTTTTCCAATTACACTAGGTGTTTGACAACTCTTCCTAAGTAGGAAGTTGCTACATTAGGAAGAAAGCAACTTGCAACATTAGGTAATCCTTCTAACATGGCAGTCCCCAGCATTTTGGATCTTCTGTGTGTTTTGTTTGTTTGTTTGTTTTTTTAATGTAGGCACCTTTTTGTGGGGAGCAAGAGGTGCTATGTTAGAATAAGAGTGGTTTTGTATCCTTTAAATTTTAATGTTACAGTTGTCTGTAAGTTCATTGAAATGTAACTCTTCTTTACACTTGAACATATATATTCATTGGAATCCAATAGTAAATTTTTATTTACTTTTCTTCTTTTTTAATCTATCCTTTAAAAAAAAAAACCCTCTATCACAACCAGATGGCTCATTTTTTTTTGTTTGCCTCTGTATCTGTTCTTTCTTTAAGCAGACAATGTATATACACTCTAACTCATGGGTTGGCAATCTATGGCCCATAGGTCAACTCTGCCTGCTGCCTGCTTTTGTAAATAAGTTTGATTGAGACACAGCCATGCTCATTCATCTATATATTGCATTTCCCTAGGCCCCCACTTGTCAGGAGAGCCTACTGCTGTTACATAGAGATGCATTGGTCTGAACAGCTCAGTGCTTGGCGTTTCCATCTCCTTTCAGTTAATTGTCACAGAAATAGTCCTCATGCTTCTAGTCAAGAACACATTTACAAATACAAGGCCATCCTAGTTCTTGATTGAACCTGTTCCATCAAGGCAATATCTGCATCTGGAGTGGAAGAAGCAGATTCAGGGTCCAGGTGTCCCAACAATATTTGTGTTGCTGGTTTCCCTGATCTGGCAAGACCCCATTGTGGGACAGCATCATTGGTGGCCACCGGCTCAGATAGGCAGCATCTGTTCTTGCCCCCAGAAGTTGGGGCTGTGGTTAGATGTTCTGTACACATTCCATGAGTTGGGATCTTGATCCCACTTTCTAGTGGACACATGTGCTCTCTCTTCACTGATCTACAGTCCAACTGAATCATTACAAAGATGACTTTCATTTGACCCTTGTGACAGAGCTGTGCTCAATTCCACATACTTTTGAGTTTCCCAGGGTGATTTTGCAATGTTTAAAAATACAGCACATTTTTAAGACCAATTATGGTGGGGATATATTTTAGTACTATAGGTAATCCCTTCTAGAATATCTGATGTCAAACAAGTAAGTGTCCTCTATGGGCACTTACTACATCAGAGTGGGGGAAAACAAAACTGGGATTGTAAGCTGGATTCCCTGGATTCAGGTCCTCACTTTTGGACTCTTCTTATTCTCTCTAGATTGGCAGTTACTCAGGTGTAGAGTCAGAGAGTTGAAATAGGCAAGTTCTGCGATCCCTTCTATTTTAGAAATGCAGTGGCCATTCATTTGGGGGTTTATTTGAATTTCTAAAAGAGAATCACTTAAATTTTTTTCTTAATTTGAGAGAACTTTAAATTTATAAAAAAGTTGCAAAAATAGTACATAACATGAATGTGTACACTTTCACCCAGTTCCTCTAACTCCCTCTAATTTTTACAACCTACATAACCATAGTTCAATGAATAAAATCAGGAAATTAATATTGATACATTACTAATAACTAAGCTACAAATTTTTAAAACGTTCACCCGTTGTTTTCTTAATGTCCCAGTATCTAATTAAGGATCCCACAGTTCATTTAGCTGTGGGATTCTTGATATTTCCTCATTCTTTCTGTCTTTCATGACTTTGGCACATTTAATGAGCACTGACTGGTCATTATGTAGACTGTCTCCCAAACTGAGTTTGCCTTATGTTTTCTCATGATTAGATTGAAATTATTCATTTTAGGCAAGATACGAGAGAAGGGATGTGATGTTCTCACTGCTTCTTATACAGAGGGCATAATGCCAATGCTTTATTACTGATGATATTAACCTTGATCACTTGATTAAGGTGGCATTTGCTATATCCCTGTCCAATTGATAAATATTTGGGGGAGATATTTTGAGATTATGCTGACATATTTCTCCTCAAACTTTTGCCTACCGATTTTAACATTCACTAGTAAATCTTTTAACAAAATTATTTAAGTATTTAAAAAATTTTTTCCTAAACAAATAAACTTTATTATTCAGAATGGTTTTAGGTTCACAGCAAAACTGAGGTGAAAGTAGGGAGATTTTTCCATACGTTTCCTCTCCTGACACTGTCACACATTCCCCGCTATCAACCTCCATGAGAAAAATCTCCTTTTTAAAAAGATATTCAGATAATATTTCTCTGGCATATCAAATTGTTTGTGGATCATAAAGAACTGGTGGTTGGGGAATTATGAAGCTGTATTCCATACTTAATTAACTGACTTAGTAGTTAGTCTTTGGATCACGTCAGATCGTGAAGATACGCAGAAATGAGGACAAAACCTGCCTGATGGGGTATAATTGGGGTTGGCCATGTTTTCCACTTTCTTGAGACAGTCCTAATGTACATCTTTTGTTCCAATGTAATTATCAACAGTACTCCCTTTCACTCTTAAAATTGTTCCAGCGAAGATGATAAATTATGTGGTCACATTAAATAGAATCCAAGTAGAAAGCATGTCAATTTTTAAAAAAATCACTATGATTAAAACTTTAAGGCTTATAATGTGATTTGTGTTTATTAGAAACCAGATGTCACCACACATCATTATCCCTTTACAGCCACACAAAAGATGATTGAAAATGTAATTGGCCCAAGGTCATTCAATCTATTTGGGGATAGATTTAAGCCTCTAAAGCATTGCTATGATCATTAGTCTACATTTATTTCTTTCCTTTCAGAAACAAAAAGCACTCTAGACTTGCCAAGTGCAATGGGACCATTATGTTTTTTAGCAGCCCTCACAAACCCAGCAGAAGCAATCTCTTTTTCCGTTGTTGCCTTTTGGGCTAACAGCTCTCTAGAAGAGACATCTTGCTTCTTTCCTGGCCTTCCCTTATAGTGGAAGACCACCGGAGAAGGATTTACACCCATTGGTATACAGAAGAGAGACAGATGTTAGGCGCTGCCTTTCTGCTCATTTTCATTTCCTTTTCAGCATTATTCCAAATTCAAGGCTCTGACTACCCAAGTCCAATGAGACAAAGTTACGGCCAATTTAGGATTAATAGAACCCTCCGTCGATATAAGAAACATTTGAACCTGTAGAGAACTTTTATATGAGTTTTCTTTGAGACAAACTGATGACAGTTGCTGAGAAAATCTCAACCGAGAAAATTCTCCAGAGAATAGCAGTTTTACAGCTTATTTTATACACTAGAATCAAAGGAGGAGACAGGAGGGGTATATGAAATGGGTGGTAGGATTAAGGGGGCAGGGGAAAGCAAAGCTGAGAAATCTCTGAGATTGTATAAAAAGGCAAAGTAGAGAAACACACACCTCTTTTATACTGGTGGGTACAAGACAGTTAATAATGAACATTTATTGCACATAGAGATGGTATGTGGGAAACAAGATACAGTGAGGGTTTCTGTGGCCTCTGTTGTGGTGGGTGTGCCCTGAGGGGTCTGGAAAAGAGATTACTCTGACATTTCAAAGGTATGCTATCTTAGATGTGAAAGGACAATAGACAGGCTCAGTTAAGTAAAAACCGACCTTTGTCAAGGAAGCTGAGACCTAGGACGTGACTACTCACCATGACTTGCTTTTAGTTAGGAATTTTTATGTTCAGACCTTTCTGTATGGTTACCTTCAGTCTCTGATTCTATAGAGTGGGCTTCCCCTGAGCTTGTCAGGTTTAGTATGTGGCCATTTTTTCATCCACACCTCCAAGACTAACATCTTTAGGTAAATATCCTATTAAACAAAACTCATAGACATAGACAATAGTATGGTGATGACCAGAGGAAAGGGGAGTGGAGGAGGTAAGTGAGGACAAGGGGAGATAAATGGTGATGGGAGGAGACTTGACTTTGGGTGGTGAACACATGATACAATATACAGAGGATATATTACAGTATTGTGCACCTGAAACTTACATTATTTTGCTAATCAGTGTCACTCCAATGAATTCAATAAAAATTTAGAAAATAAAATAAAAGCGAGGTACTAAAAAACTAAAACAAGGTTATAAAGTTTTAGCTGACCTGTCCTATAAGATGGATTTTATAAAAGGAAATGAATTCTAAATATGGTCTCTGAGCGCCTGGGGCTGGTTGATGAGAAGCATGTAACATGTGTGTGTGTGTGTGTGTGTGTGTGTTTGCCTGTGCATGCATGAGTATGTATACATGTACTTACTACTTCTCATTGCAGCCTTGCCTCTTGCACAGAATTATTTATCGGCCTGTTTTCTCTTCAGTTTCACAATAAGGTGACCTGCTTTATGCTGCATCAGATTGAGGAACCCTGCTCCCTGGGGGCTCATGCTGCCGTTATTGTCCCGCCCACCTGGATCATTAAGGTGAAGAAACCGCAGGTAACTGCAGGGACCCTGGTGCTGCTGGGCCAGTGCAGAGAAACAGTAACCGCTGCTTCTTGCTTTTCTTTCTCTGACCAGTCTTTGGATTTCTACGATCTCTGCTCATTCATCCCCTTGGTCCCATGCTCAGCTTCCCCAGTTCATCTCATTAGCCCATCCCCTTACTGTGTTGGGCTCTCTCATGGATCCAGCCTCCTCTTCTAAAGAAATCAGACTCCCCCATAGGAGTGTTTCCTTCCTGTCCGTGTAATACCGTGAGATGAGATTCTCTTTGGGCGCACTCCTGAGTTGCTTAAGTACTAGTGGTGGATAGAGCTGAATCTTGTGCATCTCTCTTCTCTCCCAGCCTGGGCACCCCTGGGGAGTGAATGGGAGGGCAAACTGTGCAGGCCTCCTTGTTTGGTTGAGATCACCACCACTTCCCACCTGAACAGCAGATGGTGGGGCATGACCTTCCTAAATGCACAGGGTCTGCTTAGAGAGCAGCACCCCTCTCTTAAGGCAAAGTAGAACCTAGCCTCTTAACACATAATCTCACATTGCATTCAGTCCTCATTGTACTGTCTCCCAAGAGGGTCTCTGCTTCAATTCTGAGAAACCTTGTTGGTTTTCCTAAGATCATGATAGAAAATTTTGTACCTTTGTACTCTACATCTTAGATAGTAGCTCCAAGTTCTGGGATGACTTTCAATGCTACAGGGAGAAGGTTATACCTCCCTAGGGTGCAGTAACCTTAGGAAGTCTTGCTGAATATAATATCTTTAAATGATGTGGCAATCCCTTTTCGTGTGGGCTCCAAACTTAGCATGTAATTTACTCTCATTGACTCAAGTTTTTTATTTTTTTTTATTTAAAATCTGTTGGATCAGGGACACTGTTTTGATTTGTGTGTTTTACATGAAGTTTAGTCTCTGCTGATAAGTGACATTTGGGAATAATCTTTTTCAAGTCATAATCCGTGATGGAAGCCCTTAGGAAATCTTTTCCAGGGGCAAATAGGGTATCTATACATTGAAATATGGGGCCTCTAGTCCTTTCATTTTACATTTTAGATACAAAGGCCAAGAGACATTAAATGAGTTGTCCAAGGTGATATATACAACTTTGTACTGTCTGAAATTCAAGTGTACTTATTTCCAACTTAGTGTTATTTCAAGATCTCTTTAATATTTTTACTTTTGTTTTTTCCCCTAATAGTTACTAAATTTCTCCAAGAGCTTTATATTAAATATTCAGTTAAACCAACATAAAAAAACCTCAATGGTATCAGGAAGGCCACTGGGCATGGTGATCTTTGCTCTGAATAACCCATGTAGTTATTTTAAGAAAAGATCGCAGAGAACTTCATAGAGGAGGCGGCTTTTATTCTGCCTTTTAAAGATAGGTGGAGTCTAGATCAGTGGAACAGAGAGGACATAACAGGCAGGAGATAGGCATGAGCAACGGTACTGGACCCAAAATTATATTCATGGGATTATAAGACTAGCTTAACTACAGTGGAAAATTTATGCAGGGTGTATATAGGATAGGGTAGTTCCTCCTCTTCAGTTAATTGATTAAATTTAGTACTTTAATCAATTAACTAAGTTCTATGTAAAAGCTAATGGATGATGAACTTGGGAAGTAATAGAGTAATGATAACCTAGTATATGAGTCAGATTGCCTAGATTCATAACCTTGCCCTGCCACCTAATAACCTGTGTAATCACAGACAATTTAAACCCTTCTGTGTAAACTTCTCATCTGCAAAATATTACTAATACTAATCCCTAATGCATAGGGTTTTCATGAGGACTAATGAGCCAAAAAAAAAAAGAAAAAAAAAAAGATAAAGTGCATAGAATAGAACCTAGTTCATTGTAACTACTCAATAATAAATGTTAGCTATTGTTTTCCTTCTTGTTGACTTGTAGGAGTACAGCAAAGCTGTGCATCAACAGATTAAAACTTTGGACAGTCACACAGGGATCAGAACAGAAGTTATTGACCCCTGAGCCATGTATTGCAATGAAAGGGGATGGAAAGAACATGAGACATCTAATGGGGAGGGCAGAAAGAGACAGAACAAGGGCCACAGTCTGCCATCTACTGTGCTCCCAAGTGCACATTAAATTCCTACTGAAGCTGGTGTATTTCCCACTGCAGTGGGATTGCATGTTCATTAGCACGATGCCTGCCCCAGGGGAGACAATCAAGTTCTAGTTACTTACTGAATACAAGGACCCAGGAAGACTGAGTGAGCAACTATATCTAGATAGTGGAAAGAGACAGAAAGTCCTACAAAATAAGGAGAGAACTATGATATCATAGAATTTCATTATTTGAAATGGGAAGAAATACAGAGTAGTCACTGATGTTAAAAAAGAACAATAATAAGGACTGAGAAAAGTCCTTGTGTTTGGGACCAGATCATGGATGCCATCAAAACCATAGATAGTAGAGTGTGGGGCATGGGTTGCAACCTGTTAACAATGGTATGGAAATAGTAAGATTAGAACATTTATTGGAGACATTGGGAAATGATGGGAGAGAATTTGGAAGGTAGATGGGGAACAATAGATCAAATATTTTTTCCAATTTTTAGAATTTATTTTTTAACTTTACTTTGTTGTTGACAATATTACAGATGTCTGCCTTCCCTCCCCTCCAACCCTCCCACCCTGCTTTTGTCCACCTCCACCCAGTCCTTGTCTCTCTCTTCCCTCTGGCTATCACCACACTGCTGTCTTTCTTCATGGGTTATACCTTTATGTTTTTTGGTTAATCCCTTCACCTTCTTTAATCCAGTCCCCCCCCTTCTTTTTCCCTCCCCTCTGACAGCAGCTTGTTTTTGTTTTTTAACATTTATGTATTGTATACATCTAGATATGTCTACATTCTATGATACTGCTTAAAAATATGATAAAGGAGAAGACAGTCTTAATTGGATTAAAGAAACATTTACTTCATTAACCACATTCAATAATGAATATAGGTCCAAAGATAAATCAGCTATTAATCTGAAAATCTAAATCATTGGGCAGAATGTAGGTTTTGGAAGAGGAGTTTTGCCACATGTAAATTTTAAATAAAAATGTGGCCTTCTGATATCTGTGAATGTTTGCCTTCTTGATCAGTGTGCATCTTTTACGAGAGACACTCATAAGATGGTGGAGGAAGGGACCAGACAGGTTGTCTAAATCAGCAGCCTGGGAGTGAGAGGCCTGTACATCTAAGGCAGAGAATGCTAATGGCTTCTGAAGATGTAGAATCAAAGTGGAAACATGAAGCAGGGTTAAGAAATTCCAATTGTGGAGATCAGCATAGGTTACATAACAAATAAAAAAGTCATTGTGCTTGGTCTTGAAGGATGCAGGGCATGTTATTGGTAAGGATGCAGGGTACGTAATTGGGATGCAGGGTATGTTATTGAATATATTCAAGTTGATAGAATATATTGATACACAGCAGTAAGATGGATTATCATATAAAGTTAGTTTTATTTGTGACAATTGTCTCTAAACAAGTAACTCCAGAGAGGAGGAGTCAAGAAAATCTACTTACGTGTATACTGGTCAGGGAAAGTAGGTTGTAAAGAGGTGGGATTAAACCACGGACTCTGTATCCTTCTCTGTTGAGAGATCCCTGGCTCCAAGTGGATAGTTATTCCACAACCAGCTGTGTGGTTGGGAGTTGTGTGGAACCTTGGTGGTAAGGGGAATGAGTGCTGCCTGGATGATGTGCTGAGTTTCATTATAAATTATTTGGAGAGACCTAGGAGTTAAAATATGATAGAAGGTAGATGACTCTAAGGAATTTTAAAAAAATCAGATTTTGAGAATCAAGCTTGAATCTGTTGGTGTGTTTACAGTCAAAGTTATATTTAATGTTACAGATGTCGGTGTTTCTTCTCTGTACTAAAAACGGTAGAGGATAATATTTTGACTGGATAAACAAGTAAAAGGTGTTCAAATCCTAGTATAAGTGTTTGGAGCTGAAGGAAAGACCTGTGTTAAATGAATTTTTTGTGGAAGACCAGAGGTGTGTGCTTTTAGTAAATGACACCATTTTACACATAATGCTTTAAAACTTGCCCTTCCCAATGGGGAAAACAAAACAAAAAAACACAACCAAATTTTTGGGAAAAGCCCATGTTAGTATATATATAGATTTAATGCATATTTAATATATTAGTTTACTTAGCCAGCTTCCTACTGATCAATATTTATATTGTTTCCAATGGTCTACTTATAAAAATGCCACAATCAACTTCTTTTCTATCCTTCTATGGGCCTTCTTCATGTGAATCCTTTCTTATTCCTTAAAATTGGGTAACCGTAAAATGCTGTAGACTCACCACATGTGATAGCAATGATCAACAATATCCATCAAAATTCCTCAAGCCATTTCCTTGGGTCAATTCTAAAGGTTAGGTAATACTCGCTGTGATTTAGTCAAATACACACCTGAGAAGCTGCTGAGACACTGTCCTTAACTTTGGAATGTGTTTTCTCTGTTCTTCTGCCAGCCTGTCCTTCTGCCTCTCTGTCTCAGGGGTATAGCAAGAGCAGAGCAGAGTGAGAACGCTCTTTAAGAGACCAAGTCCATGACTCTCCCTCCAATTATCCATCAGAGTTTTGTCTAGTATATCATGGGGAAAGACTTTATTTAGGATGAAGAAGTGGTATATCTTCTCTTTAGATTGTTATTATAATAGATTCTTTAAGATCCCATAACCTGGACAAACCCCTGATGGATAGCAAAAGGTAGTCAAGTTTCATTCACAGTTGAGTGATTTACCCACAGACATTTCTTAACAGTCCAGGAAGGAGTCATATTATGATAAAGATTTTGTTGATACGATTATTACTACAGCAAGGTTAGACTTCCTGAAACCTGGTATAAAAACAAAAAGCCTTTATCTTTTACTAGGACTTTAACAAAAGAGTGGGCACAGAATGTAGTGGGATGGATATGTTGGAATCAGGAGAATGCAAATGTCCAAGTGAGAGCACAACGGTTCTTTGTTTTGATAGCATTGAACTGGCCAAGTTCATCTTTGTATCACAGAGTTAACTGCCTTCAGTGACAGGGATGCTTTGTTTTAAAACACAGGACACATATTTAAAGGTTTCTTGGATATATCACGAACAATTCTACCCAATAACTTTTTGGTATAACTTTTACATTCTTCAAAAACATTCTTAACTCTCAGAACGATGCTGACCCAGAAGGATAAGTGATGTTATGGATTAGCCAGATTAGATGACTTGTCATGGCCAGCCCACAACCCACATATTTATGCAGGCGCCAAAGGAAGCCAGGGAATCTTGAGGTGTGCTGTGAAATTCCATACTGCTTATCTTTTGCTATTTGACTATCCGTAGGGCTGTAAGCTTACACAGAGCTCTCATACAGGCGTCCAGCTACTGTAAGTCAACCACTGCTTGGTCTTTGCCCTTTGTTCTGTGAGACGAAGGTGCATTTGGCTCGGTGAGGCTCAGAAGCACTTGTATTTGCTACGTGTGCTAAAAAAGGCTGTTTTGTGTGTATGTTCCCTATTAGAATGGAGTTCCTTGCCTGCTCTGTTTTCAGACATCAAGCCTTATTTTGATGTGTTTTTTCTAACTCTGTTTCCCAAACGTGTTTGATTGTCAGAATCACCTGAAGAGCTCTGATTTCTATGATCAGGCAAGTTTAGGAAACAACCTTAGCCTGATCCATTAGACCTTTCTCTCAGAGTTTAATTATTGAATCCTGTTAAGAACCAAGAACCCATAGTGTGTTCCTGTAAGCACTTAGTGTGAGTCCTGCATTGCTCTCGGCAATAAAGGAAATAAAACAACAAAGAAGTTAGTAGACAGGCATTCACTTCCTAAGGATCCTTTCTAATCAGGAAATACTCAGCAAGTGTTGTGGATTTGAATAATACTGACTCATTCTTTCAACAATTATTTGAGTGCGAACTATGTGCCAAGCGTTTGTGCTAGGTGCTGGGATATTCAGCTGTGAACGAGGCAACTAACATTTTTGGAAGGCCTTATCATGAGATGGATACCAGGCTTACTGCTTCACATACTTTTTCTGATTTAAACTTCACAACTCTGCTTGAGGTAGGTATCACCTTCATTTTGAAATTAAGAAACTGTTACTTTGAAACTTTGAACGACTTGGCCAAAGTCTCAGATCTAGTAGCACTGATCCCATGACATCTAGAATTAACACACAGTCTCAGGTTGCACAGCTCACGGTCCTTATCTCACAGATCTTCTGCTCTTTCTACTTCAAATCTGGCTACCTGTTAGAATTGCCTGGGGAGCTTTTAGAAAGTACCTTTACCCGAGCTTCACCCCAAATAAATTAAATGAGAATATTTGATGGGGCCATTTGGTAAAAGCTCTCTTGCTGAGGCCATTGTGCAGTGATGGTGGAGAACCACTCAGCATCACTAATTGACATCAAATAGACATGGACATGGCCAGACCTATAGTTTTCAGCATCCATTGTGGGTCATTTGATTGACTAAATGTTTAAAGGCTGCAAGTTATTTTTCTTTCATTTTAATTGAACTGAAAGTAGTAAAAAACGTAGCAAATATTTTAATAAGGCAAAAATTTTCCCCAAAGAGTCACATGGTATTAGACCCATTGAAAGAGGAATTCAGAAACTTGGAGATCTCTTTGCGGTGGTAGCTAATCTAGAGTGAGTGGTGAGAAGTAACCTGGGCTCTGGATTTCTCTTTTCTGCTGAGAACCTGAGAACCAGAGAACCTGGAAACTCTTCTTCTGATGGGGGAACAAACTTTGAGACAATGGTGCTTTAAGAAAGCTTCCTTCACCCTTGCTGAGAAAGGCCATCAATCAACTTATTTTTCCTGAGGTCCAAGTGAAAGAAAAATAAAAGCTAAATAGTTTCAATTTTGCTGACTTGGATGTGTTAATATATGTACTCTATAGACAAATTTTATTTTGAATGTTTAAGGAAAAAAATACTCTAAATGATAGAATAAATATCTAAGTTTCTTCAAGCTTTTTGAAAACTTTTAATTGTTCAAGCAGTGCATGTGTCTATACTATAGAAAATTTTAAGTTAAGAATTCTGTATTTCAGGCTTTCAGCATTCTGTTAAACATCTGCAGTGTGATAGTAATGCCTGCCTTGTGAAGATGGCAGTCTAATTAATTATTGACTCCACTAATTAAATCTCGTTTTGCTCATCTTCAGCCAATGAACTGTGACTGGTCTCCTAAGAGAAGTCCTTTTCAGAGCATGTGTGTCAAATATTCAGAGTAATCATAAAGTAATATAAAGTTGTGGTCTGAAAACCCCTAGAATGGGAATGACAGGGAAAGTGAATTTGGGGTCACTGTATTTCACAAGTTGGAGGCACTTTTGTGAGGAAAAAAAAATCAAGGCTACCAGGAGAGGGAATACTTTTTAAACTAATGGGTTTTGAAAAAAAGAAAGGAAGAAAGAAAGAAAGAATAATGACTGCTATGCTATTATTATAACTAACTTAAAGGTGAGTCTTATCTCTGCATTTTAAAACCCAGCCATCAATGCTGATAGGATAGTTGGATCATAGTTCCATTACAGATGAGTAAATTATGACCACTACTTAAAATAGTCATTGTCCAGAAAAAAAAGTAAACAGAGGAAAAAGAAAAAGAAAAAAATGAAAAATGGCCTCCTTTTTTACATTTCCACATAGGTGATCTCCATACCAGGAGTTGAACTTGAACTTGGTTGGGCGGGAGACGGACCTGGTTGGGCGGGAGACTGGAGCCCCTCAGAGAATTTGGGATTCTTCCATTTTTACTGGGAGGGTTGGCAGGTATAACATGTGTTGTTATGTGAGTCCATGAGAGCCTCCAGGGTTCTAACTCCCTGCCTCTCCGTGTGGTGGGGAGTCAGTTGCTCACTCTGAAGCACTCGACTGATTTCTGTCTGTGGCTTACCCATGCACAGTGGCTTGGAAGTGTCAAAGCATGAGAAGCATGCAATCCAACAGCATGTGCTGCCATCACCTCCTACATGGTTCTGCATGGGAAAGCTCAGGGCCTGTCTGCCCCAGGCTCAGGTTTTCCCTTCTCTCCTCACAGAACTCGCTGAAGGCTTCCAATCGTAAGAAGAAGAGAACGAGCTTTAAAAGAAAAGCCAGTAAAAGAGGGACTGAAGTAAGTGTTTCAGGATCATGGTCCGGTGAAATCCACCCTCCTTTCCATAGCCTGCCCATGCTTGTTGTTTTGTCATATCTCCCCACCACTCTTTTCTCCTTCACTGGACTCTAACCATGCTGGCATTCCTAGTATTTAAAAAAAATATAGCCTCTGCCACTTCACAGAGCGTCTGCCCTTGTCCATGCAAGTATTAACCCAAAGATGATAAAGATGAAGACAAGGGAGAGCACTTCTAGAATGCGTAGGGTATACAGAATAAAACCAAAAGCATGGCTCAATTCTCAGCAATTATAGCTCGAGATATTTTCTTCTAAGAAATATGATGCTTCAAGAACGTTTTACACAGAGTGCCCTATTAAGTAAACCCTATAAAACAAGTTGTACCTTGTGTGTGTGTGTGTGTGTGTGTGTGTGTGTGTATTTTGCAAGGCTTGGGTAGTGCTGGTGGTTTCTCACTGCAAGTCCTTTGGGGCTGCCCGTCAAGTCATGGATATACACCTTACCTGTGCTGCTTTCTTCCTTCAGCAGGAAAACAAAGGTCGTCCTTTTGTGATAAAACCTATCTCTTCTCCTCTCATGAAACCATTGCTTGTGTTTGTGAACCCCAAGAGTGGAGGCAACCAGGTGAGTCATTCTTGATGAGTTTTACTTGGAAGCTGCAATGCTTTCTTGAAAACACAACTCCCAACACCAGTTAAAAGAGCACCACGTAAGGCCCCAAACATCAGAAGACAACCACTTTCTCAGGGAAAAGGTTGGGGCACAAAACAAAGCTAATGTCATTGACACCACATGCCCACTGTACTTCATGATGGCAGTCGTTGTGTAAAATATACTCATGAAACCATGATCAGCTTTTCTTCTAGGGTGTGCGGACGCTCACAGGTGATGCCTGCCTTTGATTCCAGTAAAGATGGAGCTTGCTCTGTATAAATAATTAATGGCAGGGACTACAGAGATGATCTAATGTTGCTTCCTATTTCGCTAATTACAAAAGAGCTCAAGGAAAAGCTTAAGTGAATTTCCTAAGGACATCTTGTCTGTTAATGACATAAAAGGGGCAGTGGGAAGAATAATTCCGACAACATTAATTACATGTGAGTTCTAAATTGAGTGGATCAGACTACAAGTGCTTTGGACTTTAGAGGCAAGCAGTGACTTGGGAGTGATAAGGAAATGGTGTCATGGAAGTAGCTGAAATAGAAGATGGACATTCTTAGGCAGAGGGGACAGAGCTGGAACAATGCCCTGCTCCTTCTCTTTACTGTGGCCAATCCCTGTTTGTCCTCTAAGGCTCAAGAGCACCTTTCTGATCCATTCCTCAGACTTGACTGTGCTGTGCATTATGCCTCTGTAGCCTTGGGCACCGTGTGAATTGCAACGCAAGTGCTCTCTGTAGGTCTATGCTTCAAAACTACAGGCTTAATAATAAATACCAGGGCTGTACCTTTAAATCTATGATTTCTAGTATATGGCATATACTAGTGAACAATAATCCAATCTAACAAAGAGGGGATATGCTAACTGACCCTTATGCCATCACAAAGATGGCTGCACCCATAGCCATAAAGAGGGAATATGCTAATTGACTGTCCCACCCTCAAAGATGGTGGTACCCAGTCTCCTCAGCTGCACCAGGGTGGCAGCAGTTCCACGTACCTGGCTCTGGAGTCCCCCAGTCCCCTCTGCCCCCCATCCACCCAGGGCTGGCCCGAGGCACAGGAAAGTCTTGGATGTTGGCTGCCCAACCCCCCAGGGCCACCTGAGGCTCAGGTAACCAGGGCCAGCTGATGCTTGTGCTGCTGGTAGTGGCAGCAGCAGAAGTGTGATGGGGCGTCACCTATCCCTGATCACCAGGTTGCCTCCCACCCCTGAGGGCTCCCAGACTATGAGAGGGGGAAGGCCGGGCTGGGGACCCCCACTCCAGTGCATGAATTTTCATGTGCCAGGCCTCTAGTGAATCTCATGGTAAAATGATTTGTTTTGAGGACAGTATAGTGAGTGGAGCATGCATATTATTAGAAATGTGTTAGAGATTAGAATGAGTAGGGACCAGTGTCTTAAAACTTGGCTGAGGATTTTGGATGTATACCAGGGAATAGTTTTTTACTGCTTAAAGTTTTTCTTATTTTATTTTAAAATATTTTTAAAATTTGAACAAAAGAATAATATGATTAAAGCATTTTTAAGAAAGATTAATTTGACACATTGAGAATATGTGTAAGTCAGGAAGCTAGTCACATAAATGTAAGCATAACTTGGAAAGATGGATAGGTAGATGGATGGTTAATGGATATTCATAGCTGGTTGGTGAGTGGCTGGGTGGACGGATGGACTAGTGGATGACATGTGGAAGGACAGATGAATAAATGGAATACATAAAGGGAAGTAAAGCATAGAGATTGTACAGCAGATTATCTAACAATGGCTTTGTTATTGATGAGCATTCAGGAAAGGAAAGAATTATTAGGAAAGAGGTAGAGATGTATTTAAGGAACTTGAGGTCACAGGGAGATATTAAAAAAATTTTTTTTTAAAGTACCCAGCTATTAGAGACAAAAGACTTAATAACTTTGATGTCATCTAACACATTTTGGCTTGTAAATGTATGCTCCTAAGGATGTTACTTCTAGAATGGCTGGGATTCTCAGAAGTATGGCTAACCAAGTAATAGTGAATATTACATAAATCTAAATATCTATATTCTTCCTCTTTAAAATAGAATTTTTTATTAAGCCTAAAAAATACAAAGAACCTTGTTTCTAAGCACAATGTGAAATGTGTTGATAAAACTAGGAAGAAATCCACTCACTTATGTACAATTGGAATCCTATCTCCAGCACAACATATCTGTGAGTTCATCTTCAGTGAGGAAACCGCAGCCTGATCCCCTGGCTGCAGTGAGTGGGTAGGAGTCCTGGCTGGAGATGAACTAACTAGCTCCATTGGGGCTAGTCTTTCCCTGAGCTGCGGCTGTAACACACCCTTCACTTTGCTGAGGAGGGTAGATTCAGCCATAAACTGGGAATCAGAGGGTTAGGTGCTCCACCCTACACCATACCCTTTGTAGCTTAAAAAAAAAAACTAGTGATGTCTTACCTATCCCATATTAATTAGATTAAAAGCTGTGAGAGCAGGCCTCCTTGACTGGGATAAGCTCTCCTGTGTATTTTCTTGTGGAACCAAGTTGAGAGCCACGGACCCTCTTCTCAAGCTTGATGTACCTACGAATCGCTTGGGGATCAGGTTAAAATGCAGATTCTGACTCCGAGTCAGCCGGTGGTCCTGAAATTCTGCTTTTCAAACCAGCTCCCAGGTGGTGCTGCTGCTGCTGCTGAGATCACACTGACCAGCGAGGGCTCATGGCAGTCAATGCAGAAATACTTGGTTGCTGTTGTTAAATCCTGACTCCTGCCTTTTAGCCATGACTTACTCTACTCATCTGCCTCGTGTATAAAGCACTCCCCACTCTTGCTCTTCTGTTCTTGAGGATTAGGCTTCGAACTTATGAAGACAAACCAAAAACTTGCTTAAGGTTCTGTTCTTTATATTACTAGACTATATCGCCATCTTCTGGCAAGTAAAATACCTACAGCTTTCTTTTTTTCCTGTAATAAATTGTGTGGACAGAAAATTTCTAACACTTTGATGGAACATAGTTAGATGACACATATAGGGATTAAGCACTTCTACTTCTTTTAAACAATCCTGTCTTTTAAACAGATGCTTCACAATAATTGTCAGTTTTTCTTTTTCTTTTCTTTTTTTGATATATTTTATTGAATTTTTACAGAGAGGAAGGAAGAGGGATAGATAGCTAGAAACGTCGATGAGAGAGAAACATTGACCAGCTGCCTCTTGCACACCCCTTACCGGGGATGTGCCCACAACCAAGGTACATGCTCTTGACCGGAATCGAACCTGGGACCCTTCAGTCTGCAGGCTGACGCTCTATCCACTGAGCTAAACCAGTTTCGGCTTTCTTTTCTTTTTTTAAAGAAAATATTTGTGAATTTATTTGAGCCAAACTGATGACAATTGCCAAGACACAAAATCCTTATGAACTGAGAAAATGCTCCCTAATTTTATCTGTTTTTCTAACACTTAAGGTGGAGAAAATGCTGCATTTCTGCAAAGATTTAGAGGTTGTCAGCACTGTAGCCACTGTTTGGGATCTGCATTATCGGAGGGACAGGCAGTGGAGTCAGGGCTACAGGATCCACCCTGAGCATGTCCTGTGCAGAAGAGGTGGCAGAGGGAAGATAAAGCTTACTCCCACCCAGTCCCCTCCTCTCCATGGAAACCCAAAGGCTCCAGAAATGAACACTCTCTCTTACACTCATCTCTGCTCTAACTTCAAAACAGATTCTTTTTTTTTTGGGGTGTCTCTGAGTCATTAACATCTTTTTACCTGGGTTGTATGGACCCTTCTGATACCTCCTATGTTTCCTGCTTTTGCACCATCTCTCCCTCACACTCTCATCTTCCAGTGATGCAGGTGGTAAGTTCAGGGTTAAGCAGGTGCTCTGACCACTAGAGTGATTATAGCTAGTCAGTCCTGAGAGGTAAGGGGTCCAGACCTTGGTTTCCAAATGGTTCCATGTGAAATCCCTGGGTTGGGGTGTGGGATGAGTTGGCCCTCTGGATTGGAGCTCCCCCGGAGCTAAGTGACAGGAGGAAGGAGTGTTCCTTCTGGGGACAGGCTATTCCTGACCAAGTTCTCGCCACCAACTGTGGAGACCAAGCCACCCCCAGACCAGGGCTGCCCCTTCTAAGTCAACCAATGAGAAGACAAAAAATATCAATAACTTCAAATATTGGAGCCCAAACTGTTTTTAAATGCTCACATAACCTCAATGAAAATGTTGCATTCTGCAATGCTCAAGCTGGGGATAAATCAAGAATCATTATGCTTAGATAGAATTAGAGTCTCCTAAAGCTTAGAATAGGCTGGGAAGAGGGCAGAAGGGCAATTAGTCCATGATGGCACATGTCAGAATTCAGTCTCGGATATTCTTGTCAAGCCAGCTAAACAGGTGGAATTTTAACAACCAAACAATGAATCTGTGGAAAGCTCCTTTTTCCAAGTCACAATATTGGTGGGAATGTGAGGGCAGCTGTCAGTCTGTTCAGGCTGCTCAAGCAGAGGACCACACACTGGGTGCTGATAAACAACAGACATTTATTTCTCAGTTTTGGAGGCTGGGAAGCCCAAGATCAAAAGCATCAGCCAGTTTGGTGTCTGGTGAGAACTCACTTCTTGGTTCTCAGACATCGTCTTCCTACTGTGTCCTCCTGTGGCATTCGGGAGGAAGAAGCTCTCTGGGGTCTCTCCTATAAGGGCACTAAACCCTTAAAATGACCTCCAAGCGCCTCCAAAGGCCGCTCCTCCTAATACATCAGGTTGAATGTGGAGGAACACCTTAGTCCATAGCAGTGGCTAAGAAGACTCAAACCAAGTCATCTAGCCCCTTTGATAGATCTAGAGCCTGGATATCTCCCTCCTTAGTCTGTAGCCAGACAAATGTATCAAAATGTAAGTCCAGTCCCCCTAATTAAAGCATTTCAGCGACTCTTATCTTTTGTAAAAAATAAATAAATAAATAAATAAATAAATAAATAAATAAATAAATAAATAAAAGCCCAAGCTCCTCAGCATACATAACCTAGTGTACAACTCAGGCTGTTGTGTTTCCCGAGACCCCTGCCTCATGACTCAGTTACTGAATGGAACAATGGTTTTTCTATGATGTGTCTTTATCCTAAAACTTCTTTCTCTACTAATGTTTCAAGACAAAACCTGAGTATCATATGTTTATAGCCTTCGTCTAATCCCAGAATTGAGGCTTAGAGTATCTCTGACTTCTGAATAGGTACCTCTACCATCACATTGACCATATTTAAAATATATATATATTTTTATTGATTTTTAGAGAGAGAAATAGTATCCATTAGTTGCCTTTTGCATGCTCCACACAAGGGATTGAGCTATCGAACCATGACCTCTTGGTCCCTGGGTCAATACTCAACCGATGAGCTACACTGGCCAGATACATTTACCATCTTTAATGAACTAGTATAATGTATTGATCTCCTCCTGAGATCTTGGGTGTCCACGTGGGCACAGGGCAAGAGCCAAGTACGTGTTTATGAAGTAAATAGGTATTTCTTTAGGGTGGTTAGAAACCAGTTTCAAATAAATATTTTCCTACCACTCCCTTTTGTTTTTCTTGGGCCTTTCTTATTATGGGAACAGTTTTTTTCCACGATCATGATAATAACTCTGAATAACACCTGTGATAATAGCCCCGTGACAAGGTTCCCTGAGTAACATATCCCAATGTTTCAGCGTGCATGAGAATTACAATGTTTTGATGAAAATTGACATGCTGTTTGAGCTGACCCATCCTTAATGACTTGGGAGTATGACGCTTCTCCATACTCCCAAGTCATTGTATTTTAATTTATGAATAATGTGTAAAACTTCCTCTAGAGGGAAAGATCTTGTTTGTCTAGTCCAGCTTTCTGTTTCCTCACATAAAACTGAGCCCCGCACATAGTGGGTGAATGGCTGAAGCCTGTTCATTTCCCTCTAGAAAGTCTACCTATATTCTGGAAAGTCGTTTTCTCTTCTCCCACCCTGTTCCCCAACACCAGGCGCTGGGAAGGGCATTTTTTTTTTTTTTATCACTCCAGGGAAATACCCAAAATCACAATATCTTTAAAAAGTTCTATGGTCAATGAGGTGTTACATCTACAACCGTGTGTATGAGGACTCTCTCCAGAGTGTACTGGAGTGAACTTGTAAGCGATTTTTTCATTTTAGAGAAAACTAGACTCTCACAAAAGTTGCACATGTTTTGCATTTGGCACATTGAGACTTGTTAGTGAATGGCAGTTGTGTGAATAACTTAATAACTTTAATACTGCCAGTGAGAAAGAAAGAAATTGATCTTTTCCCGGTGAATTAGTATTTGTCAAACCAATCTGTTCTACTGAATAAATTGCCTCTATTAAAGCCCTAAAGTACTGGTAGGTTATCCTAGAGTTAAACAGCAGAGATAATAGAACTGACTTAATGTCTGTTAGACCTTTTTACTACACCCACCAGGACTGATTTAAAACAGTGCAATGCTTTCATTCAGACACATCATTTTTTTTGCTGATTATATTGTAGAAAGATTGCTTTTTGAAAGAAGAATGTCACATAATGACTGAACGTGATGTAAGAAGGCTATGCAAGTTATCCCTGCACAACTGCAGAAGGCATTATTCTAATAGGCTCTGATGTCAGTGGCGCCTCCTAGAGGTGTGCAGTGCAAAATTTGTCAGCCTTAATACCCCTTCCTCAAAAGGATAAATAGAGACATTTAGATGTTCCAACTAACACAAATTGAAAGTGAGCAAAAGCGAAATGGTGTCACTCAAACTTTCTAGAGAAATTTTAGATGAAGAAAATAACCTCTAACTGCTTTCTAATTTTATTTCTTGGAAGATATTAATTACCTAGTGTGGTATGCATAGCAGAAGAAGCTGAAATTGAGACATGCTCTCGACCATAGCCAAAGGTGGAAAAGAGTAATTAACATCTATACCAGTAACTCATATTGCTCTAGGAATCTAAAGCTGAAAAATTAATTTTCTAGCAAGTCATTAGGAAATTGTTTGTGAATTGGTTTGTCATTAAAATGACTCTGAAACATAAAATATTACTTGGGATAATCCTCAATGGACTTGATACCAAGGCCCGTTGTGGGAAGAAAGAAAATGCTCCAGTATTTAGTTGGCATTTTGTATCTAAAACTATGTCTGAATTTTATACGAAGCAAACTATGTCCTTTGGTGAAACTGCAGGGTTAGTTGTAATAATCAAGGAGGAAATGTTACAGTATTACTAAATTTATAGCAACCACATGATGAAGCAGAACTTTTAAATTATAGGTTTGGATGGAATTGGGACAAAAGACCTGCGTTGGCCTTGTAACAACTGGTGTAACAATGTGATAATTATCAACTACACTTTAGCCCTCATACCCTCAAGTGTACTTTAATGAATAGGTTAACAGGGAGCAAAAAAGAAAGGGACTAACATTTACAACAGGCCTATTTTGTGCCACCTACTGTGCAAGATACATAACCATTACTGATTCATGTAATTCTCATAATCACCCTAAAAAGTACACGTTGTTCTTCTACTTTATATGCTGAATTTCTATAGGGTTATAAAGGCTCATGCTTGCCCACTTGGAACACCAAGTTATTTTTAACTAAATGTTGTGCTATTTATACCATACAAGGATAACTCTCAAATACTGCATAGTAGGTATAAAACTTAGGGTTATTTTGAGAAAGAGCAATCATGATCCTATATAATAAAGAGGTGATATGCAAATTGACCATCACACCCTTGCACAAGATGACCGCCCACGTGTGATCACAAGATAGCGGTAGGGGAGGGCAATTAGGGGTGACCAGGCCAGCATGGGAGGGCAGTTGGGGGCAATCTGGTTGTCAGGGTAGCAGTTAGGCATCAATCTGGCTGGCAGGAGACTGTTTAGGGGGTGATCAGGCTGACAGGCAGAAGCAGGTAGGGGTAATCAGGCAGGTGAGCAGTTGGAAGCCAGCAGTCCCAGATTTTGAGAGGGATGTTTGACTGCTGGCAGTCGGACATCCCCCCAAGAGTTCCAGATTGGAGAGGGTGCAGGTTGGGCTGAGGGACACCGCCCCCAGTGCACAAATTTTGTGCAATGGGCCTTTAGAATTTAATAAAGGGACTATAATTATAAGCAACAAGTTCTGCCTACTGATCTAATATTATTTGCTGTGGTTGATAATGTTCTAAGTAAGGCACCTTACCCATTTGCAAGCTCTTTGGATGCTGCTTAATAAAAAGATTCTTCCTCAATTCTTTGCTCAATTTACTTCAAGAAATTATCTTTGGAAATTTGTATTGTTCATAATGATCATTTCTATAAATGTCACATTTACACTTCAAACTTTCCCAGAATGTTCATGTGTGACAGGAATGTTTGGTTTGAACAAAGAGTTAGAAACATAGAAATAAAAAATTGTCAAAGTGAGATTTGATACCACTAGCTGGAGAAGGTATATATGCGTAGTATAAGTAATGGGAAGCCTGTTATAATTTTGCTTCAGTTAAAATTTTTTTCAATAAAGTCATACTTAGCTTATACTGCCCATATTTCATATTATGCAGAGACAATAGCAATCTGTGCATTAAAGTAAAAGTTAATGTTAAGTTACATAGCTGACTAATAACTTCCCTGCATGGATTTTTATACATTTAGTAATGATGCTAAAACTAATAGATAATATTTATGGAGCACTTATTGCATGAGGAGCACTCTAATGTGCTCCTGAAACAGTATTGCATTTAGTCCTTGAAACAAGTCTGTGAACTAAGCATGCTTGTCTCCACATTAAAGAGGAGGGAGCTGAGCTTAATGAAATTAAGAAACTTGCAGAGTTACATCGGGTAGGCTGATGTCTAATCTGGGCATTGGCCAAAGACCATGATTTGTATATAATTAGCTATTATTTTAGATAATGGGTTTTATTTTTAAATAAGCAGCTAATATTTGGAAATTTCTTCCCACTATAGTCATTTTTTTCCCTTATAGGGAACCAAAGTCCTGCAGATGTTCATGTGGTACCTGAATCCACGGCAAGTCTTTGATCTTTCTCAGGAAGGGCCGAAAGATGCGTAAGTCTGGAAATACCCTCCATGGTCCATATTATTTTAGGCAAGTGAGAAGGACTTCCTGCTTTGGCATCAAGCTTCATTATTCGGTTGCCTTGTGAAATATTTTCTGTCTCTCATCTACTTTCTCGTCTGTACTGTCCTCCCTTCAAAACTCTATCTCATGTTTCCCTTGGCACTCTTCATTGGGTTAATTCCCTTCAAAGCACATTTCACAGTCATCTCAGTGAGTATTTTTCTATGTGGTTGTTGCGTGTGTATGTGCAACTGTAGATTATGAGCAAGTCTGGGAATGGAGAGGATCCATCACTTTTCTATTTATGCATGAACAACTTTGGATGTGTACATTAATGGGAATGTAAGTGTGTCTTTGTGGGCAGGGGCCATATTTGTTTATAAATATACTTATATATATTTTAGTTAAATGTTGTTTATGCCCATCTTGGAGAGATTGATTAATTGATTATATCTGTGGATTCTACATCAGAGTGGGGGAGACATTTTAATTTCTTCTCAATCCCTTCTATGAGCTTCTCAGAAATTTTATGCATCATTTTTATTAGAAGTGTTGAAAATCAGGTCTAGATGTAGGTGAAGTATATCTTATTTCTTCCCGTTGGAGGAGGGCAAGAGTGGAGACATTGTGCTGCTTCCTGATTCTCTTTTTAAATCCATCTATTAAGATAGAATGGGTTTCATCTGAAAATTTCTAGAGAAATAATATTTCTATAGGAAATGGGTAAACTATATATATTTAAGCATGCAGAAGAATGTTAAATATGAAAATTTCTGCTTACACTCTCTTAATCTATGAACATTTTTGCCACTAGAGGGTGCTATGAGACCTCTATGTTTTTCTGTATTTGGATGTGCAAATCTGGTACCCTGGCTTTTGCCCTTTTAGATGCTTACTTAAGATTTTATCACTTTAGACTTTAGGTAGACACTTCATAGACAAAGTCAAAGAATGTGGAAAGACAGGAAATAGTTTTAGGAACAAATAGTATTTGATTTAAATAGCTGATACTTTCTGGAACAGAGCCATTAACAGCTTCACTTAGGCAAACATTTTAGCAGGCAAGGTAGTAACACTGCATTTTCTTAAGAGCCAACATGAAAAACAAAATGATCTAATTTTAAGCAGGCCAACTTAAAATAAAGAAAAATCAGTAAATCTCCCCTTTTTAGACTGAGATGTAGAAATAGGATCTGACTGTGAGTGAGGTGAGAGGTAGATAGAACTGTGGGTGTGATAGCAATGTAGTGGGGTACCTTCCCCCTACCTCTCTGAAGAAGTTTTCCTAGGATTAAGAATGGGAAGGTTAGGTTTGAAAAATAAATAGATCCATGAGAAGCTAATAAAATATAAGTAGGATATATATAAGGCCTTTTGATTGTCAATTAATGATGGCTTTCTTTGAGAAAGGAGAGGGGAGAATGATGGGGAAAAAATAAACAAAAAGGAAGTCAAACCACTGAGGAAAATAAAGAGCTGACAGTAATAGGAATTATGGGATATAAAACTCTAGGACATCCTAAAATCCCCTTCCAGTGCTGGCTATTTAAAAACGATGTCTGCTGCCAACATCTGATCCAACTGTTGGGAGTCAGTCCTCTTGTGATTAACGGGTAATGAGTTTTGATGATCTTTTTATCTTCATGATAATGCATTTTCTACAAGGGATAACCCCATTTTTGCCATGTGTTTTCTCTCTGCGATGGCAAGTGATGTGCTCTGCTGTTAAATTTTCCTTCTATTTCCTCCACAGGCTTGAGTTGTACAGAAAAGTACCAAATCTGCGAATTCTGGCCTGTGGTGGGGATGGAACGGTAGGTCCTCGAAATAGAATCCAGTTCTCGCCCTTATTGCTTTCATCTTTCTTTTATTTTCTTTATGACAGTTCTCTTAATTCATTCCCACCTCACAGTCTTCCCAACCCCCTGAAACATGTGTCTCCCTCATGTGAATCGTGGCCCCTTGAGGTTAGAAGGGACTCTGTTATTGTCCTCATGGATTCAAACGGGATCTTTCTTAATTGTTTCACTTCCTCAACTCTACTATATCCTTCCCTGTTCGACAAGGTAAGGAGGTGGTCAGATCATCAGAATGAAGAGTATAGATGATAAAATTCTTTTAAAAATACAAACTGATCTATATCAATCTGTCCTTAATATTTGGTCACAATGGTTAAGGAGAACAAGGTGTACACGATTGAATTATTGTGATTTTTTTTTCCCCAGTGGAAATGAAACTTAGAGTATTGACTAACATTGGTTTGTCCTAAAAATCATCTGTTTGTTTCATTTGTATTCATATTTAAAGAAAATGTGGAATTGGGCTGAAGTTTAATGTGATGGTTATATTGCCCTCTGTTTTTGTGTCTCATCTATTTCTCCATTTGCCCTCTACTTCTGCTGACATATTTAGCAAAGGCTAGAAATGGAGAGTCATGACATGTAGGTTCTGCTGCCCAGTGTCTTTTCTTTTTATTTGGGGTCTGCTCTCCTAGAACCCAGGATTTTATTATGCACTATGTATGGCTCTTCTCTAATTTCTCTAATTACAATATTTTATTTTATTCCCAAAGTAGTGATGAAATCTTCTAATTTTATCTCTCATAGCACATGAGCACTTAATGCAACATTGCATTTGCATTAAATACTAATAAATGAAATTGGGGGGAAAATAAGTGATTCCACTGGTCCCTTAAGATACTTTGTGAGAGTAAAATGTGTGTGTGTGTGTGTGTGTGTGTGTGTATGTGAAAATAGTGCTTACAATTTTTGAAGATTTGAAATACATATTGTTAGCTTACAAAATTTTGATTAAGTCTTACAGCAAAAAAATTCAAACCTATTTCACTTTGTTTAATCCAGTGTTTTCCAAAATTATTATATATAATAATAAGTTATATATTAATTTAATTAATACACATAGAGTCTTCTTTCTATTGCAACTATTTCCCATTTAGTTATCTATAATAATAATAGCATAATATGCTAATTAGACTGAACAGCTGAATGACCTTCCAGATGAAGGTAAGGTGGTGGGGGCTGAGGCAGAGGTGATTAGGGGCCATCAGGCTGGCAGGTAAGTGGTTAGGGGCAATCAGGAAGGTAAGCAAGTGGTTAGGGGTGATCAGCCAGGCAGGTGAGCAGTTGGGGGCATCAGGCAGGCAGAGTGGTTAGGGGCAATCAAGCAGGCAGGCAGAGTAGTTAGGGGTGATTAGGCAGGCAGGCGAGTATTTAGGGTCAATGAGGCAGGCAGGCAGGTGAGCAGTTAGGAGCCATGTGTTTTCTCTCTGCTATGGCAAGTCCCAGTTTGTGAGATGGATGTCCGACTGTTGGTTTAGGCCCTACCCCATCCTGGTCCAAACAGGCAGTCAGACATCCCCTGAGTGGTCCCAGATTGTGAGAGGGTGCAGGCCAGGCTAAGGATCGCCGCCCCCTTCCCCTCCACCCCGCACGAATTTCATGCACTGGGCCTCTAGTCTTAAGAATAAACTCAGGTGTGAACCTTTTCTTCCTTATTTTAGCACCTACTTGCCTTCCTATATGAAGCACCCCCTCACATCTTTTCTCCTCTGAATCTCAGTGACAGCAGTGTGTGTATAAGCTGAGGATATGCCTGGTGTTCGGAATTTATAGTTCTTCCTCTTTCTTAAATGGCCCTGACCTTAAGTCCATTTCAGCTACCTATTCCATCTTCATATTTGGGCTTCCTCATTGACTGGATTCTCCACTTCTTAAGCTTTTCCATCACCTCCTAAAGCTCTATGCACTATGCTTTTACCCAAATTTTGCTTTTTTGGGTAACATGACACCATCACCACCTGACTCCCCTTCCGCCACCCCATGCTACTTTCCTCTTCCTTTCCTCTATTCAGCAGGCATATGGAGGAGGCAGTGCCCTAGGTTATATGATATTGAGGTATTCTCTGAAATTAGATAAGTATTTTAAAGTATAAAGGAGAAAGAGACAAGACAGCCAAGTTCAGACACTTGTGAAATACCTATAATTATGGAGTCAGAGCCAAAATTTGAAAGGAAAATGAGAAGATAGAAGTAGAAGGTAGTCTTTTCTGTCAAGAAAACAAGCCAAAACAAGAGTTTCAAGAAAGAGAGCATGGCTATATCTTTAAGGAGAGACCAGAGAATGATAATTGAATTTAGAGACTAGGAAATAATTTGGTGGTTTTCAAGAAAAGAGTTTCAATAGACTGTCTGGGACAAAACCCAGAATGGTGAATAAGTGGGACTTGGTATATTACTAATGAATCCTAGCAACCAGATCCAATTACAGGATTGAATGTCTATGAATGCACTATGGTGTCATTAATATCTTTCTTGACTTGTAGACTGTTCTCCTATTTTTTTAATCTTACCTTTTTAACATTTCTTCTTTAAATGAACCATAATTAACATGTATTTTGCAAGGCTTAACTATAACTTTCTTTTATGTTAGGGACCTTATTTATGTCCCTAACTTCAGGTTTCACATCTTTCCATGTAACTCACAAATGCATTGGACATTTACACTTGGATCCCTTGCAACAGGCATTCCTGAAATAAAAGTAGTATATCTACTCTAGAATTGATGCATACTTTTGAACTAAGTATTTTTGTCAATAATGACCCATGTAGTCCAGTCTCGGAATCAAAATTTTGTTTTTTTGGGTAACATATAAAAACTGGTAGGATTCCTTTTATTTTTACCTTGTTAAAGTAAGGTTTTTGCTGAATGAGGTATGGGTTCATGAAATATTTATCAGTGTATGTGATTGGTATTTTTAATTTTTATCAGTTTAGAACATGAAACTTAAAATTTTTACTGGGGGCAGAGTTTATATAAAAAACTGGTTGGTGAGTGAAAAAAAATAATTCTTGGCTTTAGACAAGTGAAGTATAATTCTTGAGAGCATCATTTTTATATTTGCCATGAGGCATTTAACCTTGAGTTAATATACCTATCACTACTGAGGTTGTCAGAATTCTGTTAGTATAGTGACAAAATTCAAGGAGGGGTCAGAAATGGAATATTTTTGACTGATTAGAATGAGGTATATTAACCACTAACCATATTAGTTTAAGTGTAAAAAGTATTACTTAACATTAGACATCTTGCATGAATTTGGAAAAAAGTTCTTAAGCTCCAATGTTAATTTAGTTTAATGTTATTAACAAATGCAAGGAGGCGAGAGTGACATGTCTCACTTGGTTGCACTTGAAGGTGGAAGAGGAGGTTCTGCGACTATTTCTGTGACCTTGAGCAGGTTTCCTGACTTCTTTTGAGATATTCTAAATCTCCAAAAGGATACATTTGGATCTCCAAGGTTCTTTACAGCTGTAGCATTATAATAGCAGGGATCGTTGCTGATTAAGAGAACTATAATGTAAGCCACATTTTAAATATTAAGTTTTCTAGAAAGCACTTAAAAAAGGGTAAACAAGAAGCAGGTGAAATTAATTTTATAATACAGTTTGTTTAACCTAACATATCCAACATATTATCATCTCAGAGCGTAATCAATATGAAAGTCATTGATGAGCTCCTTTATGTTCAGTTTGCACTGTCTTTGGAGTCTGGCATGTATTTTGTAATACAATGCCTCCAGTTTGGATTAGCTGCATTCTAGAGCTCAGAGGCTGCTGTTTTGCCTCTTTGTACCTGATGTTGTCATAGAGCTGAGATTAGCAAGAGCGCTGGTCCCATTTTCTATCTCTAAACTGAGCGAAAACTCAGCTAACTTAAGAATGACCTCCAGCCTTCATGTTTATAAACTAGAAAAAGTATTATTTCTGTGGCCATGTGGTAAATTTGTGTTCTCTCCTTTCGTGGGCCATTGCCACTCATCCAGCTCTCCTTGGCTGTCACCGGCTTAAATATTGAATCTAGACGCTGAGGCGCATGCACCCTCTTCTGCTGGCTCCTTAGTGAGACATGGTCCTGGCTCTGACCTTGGTGAGCTGAGCCGGGTCAGCAGGTCCATCTGTAGCTATGTTCCTGTCTTTCCAAAGCCTGGAATTAAATTGACTTTAGCCACCCATTTCTTGCTAATTTTTTGTTCAGTTGGCTTCTCTAGATATAAGGATATATTATATCTAGAGAGCAGGCATCCCCCTGCCCTGACTTACATCCCCAGCAGGGAAGAAAGTATATCATTTTCCTTTAATGGACAGAGGCTAGCAGATCATGCCAAGCCCCTCTGCTCCCCCAGCCTCAGCCTCATGCATATGTAATGGATGTAGCCCATCCTCTCTCAAAAGGAAGCACATGGTAACCTCAGTAGTAGTCATTGTAAACAAGTGAGTTTTCTATTTCAAAGAGCTCATACCTCAACCCTGATCTTGATTTCTTCAGGGCTGATTTTAACCATTTTCTTTAACACATGGTGACTTTTTAAACTCTTCAGTGCAAATATAAATTTATACATCAAAGGGAAGAATCATAGTGTACACCTTAGTAAGGGACATCCAGTTGTTAAATACTGTTTCGATGATCTTTCAGAGTTCGGAAATGTTGGCTGTCTTCTCTGATATCTCAGTATGCATTGAGAAATGTTGATTTTTCGGCCTGCCTGTGGTATAAGAAAATGTGCTGTATGTCATGTGCAAAGACTTCAATTCACTGTCCTCTCCACCCTTGAGCCACCTCTGGTGCCAGCATGTTGCAGAATGAAAACTGCTCCAAGTGCAGTTGGGGAGCATCCAGTGACAGCTAACTCTGAGCATGGGCAGCAGGGGGCAGCACAGGCCAGCTGCTGCTGCGGTGGCCCGCGGGGCTGCTCAGGGACAAAGCCCTTAGGCGTAGCTGCTATTCTAGATCCTTCAGTCTCACTTTTCCTGACACAAAGGAAGGAAAAAACTCTGCAAACTGGAACATAATTTCACTCAGTCTGGATGTTTTCCATCAGCTGTGGTGGAAAACATGCCAAGTGCTTTGTATTGCAATTAACTAAATTGTTGAATTGAAGGGGTGCTAGAAACGCTGGTGGAGATGACTTGGGGACATGTGAAGGCCCAGCAAACACAGCCCCTGCCCACGAACCTTCGGTCTGGACCTCTCGTGAGCAGGTTTCTGGTTCCTGGGGAAAGCCTCCAATAGACTTCTCTGAGCCCTGAGATCTTATAGCACCTTTCTGTTGCATGGAAGTTACTGGAAACATATTCCAAAGTCATTTGAAAATTATTTGTATTTAATGCCTTATGAATGCATCCCCTAACTTTCTCATCGAAGTATTAGTATTCTTCCCGTCATTTGGGATTTTTCTTTGCAGGCTCATTTGCAGATTCTTCCCGTTCTCTGCATCACTTCCTATCTCTATCTAGGAGTGTGAATGGTGTCAGGACTCTGGGACTACTTTTCTGTAGGTGCCCAAGGCTCCCATCCTGAGGACATGTCAGGGTGTTTCGGTTGTCAGTGAGCTGGTGGGAAGTTGGGCTCACTATTACAGAGACTTTATCCCTCCAGCCCCAGCTTTCCATGGGCAATGGCCTCAGGTCCTGGTTCTTCACATTCTTATCCCAATGTCTTATTTCCAAGAGGGAGCCTGGTTTCTACACGGGCTCCGCCAGCAGGGGGCGCACCTTTATTCCTCATCGTCAGACAGAAGCCAAACTCCTGGCTTCCTCTGCTTGCACCTTTGCATTTTCTTTGTTTCTGGACCAGGAAGAGATTTTTTGTTTGTTTGTTTGTTTGTTTTGTTTTTTCATTGTAGTGAAATGGAATGTTGAAAGTGTGAAGTGCATGCTCTTGACTGAGAAAGGAGAGACAGATTTCAACTAAATGTAAGAAAAAAGTTTTTAATTTAAATCTACCCCAAAGACACTGACTAACTTGTGAGTACAAAGCATAGACAGGGGTGGGGATCAAGTGATCACCTCTCAGAGAAGTTTCAAGAGCCTGCCTTTTTCCCCCTTCTCTGAAAGGGATGCTGGATTAGATTCCCACTAAATTCCCTTGTATTTCTTCTGAAAGTCTGGTTCTACCCAGGACTGTTGGGTCTGCATTCACAGCGATCCTTGATTATTGGGATTTCTGAGTTTCACAATCCCTTTTAATGTCCTTTAAACCCCCTTGCTGTAGTTAATTGGAGATTCCTCCTTTTGCTGGGTTTTGTTTGTGCTTTTAGCTGCACAGGAACAATATGTAGCAGTCACCAGTCATATTTTAGCGCCTGGCATTTTCTTCCCCTTTTACTTCAATATTAAATAGCAAGCTTTGTCCGTATTGCCTGTGGAATATAGAAGGTTGGGTGGGGACCCTAAGGAGTTGTCTAGGAGCAAATTGCCTCTCTTAGGGGAATGGAGGGACTTTGCACACTTGTGTGGATCTAAATTTCTAGCTCCCCAAACTGGGTATGCCTTTCTGACAGGTTAACACAACTTTAGACTTCCTAATGGAAGGCATGTTTTACATCCTGGGAAGTAATCATTGCAGAGGAGAAGGGGTTTTAGATGGAAGTCAGGAGACCTGATATGACTCTCATTATTTATTCTTCAGCCAATTATATGACCTTTCGGCACCTTAATAAATCTGCAAATTAACTGAATTTGAATAAGCAACTTCTGAGTTTCTACAGGACAATCAGGCCATATCCAGAACCAGGTTGAGTTCTTTATTTCAAGATTCGCTGAACCAGAAAGGCTAAGCGGTTGGTCTTTGGCATTTGGCCAGCCTAATTTTGGATGCCAGCTACCACGTAAATGATGTGGTATGAAGAAGGACTTGGACTTTCCAAGTCTCAGTTTCCTTATCTACAAAGTGGAGATGAAAATGACATCTATTTCACAGACTCCTTTGGAAGTTTAATGAGACAGGTCACTGGAAAACTTTGCTCAGGGACTGGCTCCTGGAAAGCTCACTGTTTTTGTTCATCATGAGCTCTTTGAGAGCAGACCTGCCACCTAATCTATCTTAGCCCAGCTCATTTATCTTTTCATTTCAGTTGCTTAGTTCTGCATTTTATCTGTAGCAGTGTGCAACAAACGTACTGTTAAAGTACAATTTTCAAAATATTTAAAAAACATGACCCATACAAATATAGAATGAACACATGTCAAAAATGTATTTATAAAGCAATAGACAGATTATGTATTATAGAATTGTTCACTTGAAACCTACATATTTTGTATGTCACCCAAATAAATTTAACTTAAGAAGGTATTTAGTGCTTTAACGATGGCGATGGCACCAACAAGATGATAAAGCTGTTTTGTTTTTTGTTTTTGAGAAACAGAAGAAACGAATTATGTGGCTTATACCAAAATAATTTTCTAAATTTGAGTCAAAGTTGGTTTATGAAATCTTTTCAACATTAACTTGAAGGACAGAAATCTTCAAGTTAACCTGTACTTACATAGTTCTTAGACAGGCCTGTTAAATACTACTGTAGTATGACATTTGAGGACATTCAATTTTGCTTTTTTCAAGTTTAGGGTAATTTTCCTAAATAGTTATAATAAGACTAAATCTGAGAAAAAGATTAAACAGGAATATAATTCTTGTACATAAGTATCTATTTTCTGCCTAAACTTATAGTAAATACTAGGTCCAGCCCTAATTATGTTTCCATAGTGTTTCATTTAGGGGGATACAAGGATATTTAGAAAAACAATAATTTCTAAGATGGTACTATGGAGATTAACCATTTAATTGGTGCTTACATGGGCCGTGCACCATGTTAAGTGCTTTATATATATTTCTCTCTGTAAACAATCTTGTGAAGTAGGTATTATTAACTCCATCTTGAAAATCTGGTAAATGTGTCTCAGTGATGTCAGATAATTTAATAAAGATGACAGGGCGGATATGAGCCAGAATTGAAATTCAATCTGGCTCTAAGTCCTGTATTCCCTCCAGTGGCATGTGCTATATACCTCCCTAAATTTTAAACTCTTCTAAATTTTAAAGTAGACCTCTAGTTAAACATATAGACAAATGGGTGTAGTTTTGCTTCTATGACAGAGCATGTACAAAATGGTCTTTTTCCCTATAAGAGACTTGCCACTTTGAATCTGCCTGAGATAAAAGTGGTCTTTCTGTTCCCTGGTTGCTGGATTAAAATATATATTTTAGCCCTAGCTGGTTTAGCTCAGTGACTAGAGCATCAGCCTGAGAACTGAAGGGACCCAGGTTTGATTGCAGCAAGGGCAAATGCCGGTTTGCAGGCTCCATCCCCAATAGAGGGCGTGCAGGAGGCAGCCAATCAATGATTCTCTCTCATGGTTGATGTTTCTATCTTTCTCCCTCTCCCTTCCTCTCTGAAATCAACAAAAATATATTTAAAAACACACACACAAAAATATGTTTTAAAGAAAAATAAAACCATTTGATTTTGCTCTTTAAAGCCGCCTCCCCTCAGGTGGTCTTCCTTGTAACTTACCTGTCTTTCTTATCCCTCTTCTGGCCCCCAATGTGTCCGTAGGTGGGCTGGATCCTTTCTATTCTGGATGAACTGCAGCTGAGCCCTCAGCCTCCGGTTGGAGTCCTTCCTCTGGGGACTGGGAACGACCTGGCTCGGACTCTCAACTGGGGAGGGGTAAGAACTCTCTCAGGGGCTGCCCACGGCATCCAGCAGCAGGCTTTCCCAACACACAGGTGTTCTAGTGGAAGGGGAATAAGTTAGGGTTGAGAACCAAGCACCCATGAGCCATGATTTTATCCAGTAATGTATAAGCAGCTAGAGAAGAAGGGAACACTTAGGATTAAAAAGGGGGGCTAGTGCACAGACCTGGGGCTTTTTGAGCTAAGCACTAAGACAGTGGGTGGGTTATCCTCAAGTCTTCATGTAAAACAACCACAGACTTGAATTGATCCTGACCCTCAGCGTCGGCCAGGATAGCAGCTCTGACTCAGATTTATAATACTTACTTTGGGAAAGTTACGGCTTTTTTTTTTTTTTTTTTTTTTTTTTAACATTTGTTTTCTCTGGTCAGTGTCATCATGGGTTTGGCTCTACAGGTAACAGACTGTCTTTTGCCCCTTGGAGCCAGTTTCAGACAAGCTCAGTGGAGGCAGTTTCCCAGTCACCAACCAGCCATTTCATTACCGTGTTGTTGTTGTTTTACATAGTACTAAGTAAGAAGGCACAATATGCAAACATATGCAGCCTACCAGCTTTTTATCTGCTCATAGAGACTGTTGCCAGGCTGGGTTCCATGAAAATCATCTTCAGATACTAGAAGATAAGGATCTGGGTTTTGGGTGAATTAACCTCATGTAGGAGATAATTACCTTCAGATACTAATTTGACTGAGTGAATGAATTAACCTCCCCTAGATCTTTTTTTTCCCTCCAGGAAAGGGCAAAAATAAGATTATAGTTACAAGTACTCAAAACAGAGTTTATTCTTATATTATTCTTTGTTATATGAGTAACTGTAAACCTACTTTTGCCCTGCCTTGTATTTACATGAAGCAACTAGTATATTATCCATGTTAACTCCTCTCATCCAATCGGTGACTTGGCAGTCCTTAACGATCATCCTGTCAGTAACATATGCTCGAGGAGGAAGAGTTCCCAAACAGGGCTATTCCTCTGTCAGACTTGCCTGAGGTCATGGGAGGGATGGGTTAGGGAGAGGTGAGTAAAATGGGATGTTAATAGAAGAAATTGTCTATCAGAGGCTGCTTCTCCCCCCCCCTCCCACCCCCAAACACACTTCTTCTGTGCATTTCACAAATCCCTTTAGTACGAGGCCTTGGCTGGGGGCGGGGGTGGAGGGGTTCCTACTTTACTCTGATGAAAGCAGCCATCCAGCTTAGCCCCTAAACCTACCAGCGACTATTGGTTCTCAGTGTAAGCAAAAATTATTCCTTAGCTCAAACCAGCTAGAATTAGCATTTCTGTGCACATTACCTGTGACTATTGTATTAAGTCCTAAGTACCTGGAAAAAAAGAGTTTACTCTCCCAGCCTTGCTAATTGCAAAACAAACAGAGCCCTGTAGCAGAGGGCTCTTTCATGCATGAAGTACCTTTGGCTCTACCGTTCATTACTCCAATGGATATGTTCGTTGGTTCCTCAGGGCTACACTGATGAACCTGTTTCCAAAATCCTCTGTCAAGTAGAAGATGGGACAATTGTACAGCTAGATCGCTGGAACCTCCATGTGGAAAGAAACCCAGACTTGCCTCCAGAAGAGCTTGAAGATGGGGTGTGTAAGGTTAGAGAGTTTTGTGTGTGTTTGTTTTTTTTTCTTCAGCAGAAAGAAACCCTGAGCATCTGTCATGGGAAATACATTTGTGGCTGGAGATTCATGTGCTGATTTCTTCCTATGAGATCAAAGGATAGTGTTAGAGTTTATGGCTACAGGGCTATGCATCCAACATCACCCAATGATTCTACCCCATGGGATTCTAAAGACCTAGGTTTCTACCCGCTCCCAGGGCTCCGGGAGCTGTTCTCTGTCCTCATCTTCCACACCAGGAAGACATGTATCCATGTTCTAATCTCTCAAGTTCATTGCAAACTCTTAACCTAAGAGATGAAATATATGTTCTGAAGCATTAGGAATATGATCTTTCAAAACAAAGGTAGTCTTCTAGCCGAAACCGGTTTGGCTCAGTGGTAGAGCGTCGGTCTGCGGACTGAAAGGTCCCGGGTTCGATTCTGGTCAAGGGCATGTACATTGGTTGCGGGCACATCCCCAGTAGGGAGTGTGCAAGAGGCAGCTGGTCAATGTTTCTCTCTCATCAACGTTTCTAGCTCTCTGTCCCTCTCTCCTCTCTGTAAAAAAATCAATAAAATATATTTTTTTAAAAACCAAAAAACAAAAACAAAGATAGTCTTCTGAGATTTCTGGCTTGATATCAAACGTTCTTAATGTTTAGGAAGTATTAACTAAGCCAATTTCATTACTTACATGGGACTTGAAGATGCCTATATAAAAGTTTTGATTTAGTGCTTTTCCTCCAGTGGTTGAGCTTTTTATTTCACTCCAAGACAAACTAAGGGGCACAGTTGTAAATACCCTCGTGTGGAGCTTCAGTAGAAGATTTGGTTCTAAATTCTGGACTCAATTTCAGATAAATTTGGTAGGTCGCCAAGTAGCCCCTTTCTCCTTATTACTTCCTACTTCTTTTTTTATGATAGTGTTTTCAACCTTTTGTATGCATAGATTCTCCAAGTGTGCTTATTAGAAATACAGATTAAAATACAGATACACTTTCTGGGATAGTCCAATCCCAGAGAATTTCATTATCTAAATGCAGGGTTAAGGCCAAGATATCTGTACTTTAACCAGCATTACTGCTATATTGGATTATGCCATTGATTGAGACCAAGATTTCATGGAAGTTTCAGCCTAAAAATAGATTGAACCAGATAGCATTTTAGACCAAACCAACATCCACTTATTCATTGAACCATGTTTTGCCTTGGTCTTCATTTTTTTTTTTCCATTCACCTAAACCATGATTTAAAAATCATAAGGTTTTTGGTAGTTATTACTATTGCTCAGTTGATATTGAGTTCATCATGTCACAATGTTCTTTAAATAGCATTTATTGTTTTGGAATATGATATGTCTTTCTATAGTATTAGAATACAGAAATTGGGTAGAAAAGAGCCAAAGTAAAAGAAATGTACCATGTGGAAATGTTAAGGTCCTCTCCCCACTGAAATTAGAATGGTTAGGCCCTCAATAGAAGTCTGTATTTAAATCTCTTCCCTACAGCTCAAGTAATGGAAAGACTTCTTGGTGCAGCCAGAAAACATTAATCCAGATAATTAGAAGCCTATGAAAATTGATTTTTGAAGAGATATGTAGGAAATTGGGGTAATTTTTTCCTGGAAAATACTAATAAGAATTTAATAACAGACTAAATTGGGATATTATTTATCGGATGGTGGCCAGATGTTCCCCTGAGTTATCAGTGAATGTTAAGACATGGGTTAGACTTGTAGCCAAGAAAACATAAATGGTAGAGACGAACATATCTGTGTTCTTGGCAGGATCACCAACCCTTGCTGAGGATGGTATTTTGTTTAAGTACAGGAACTGGACATTCTCAAATATGAAGCCAGGAAAATGAGACATGATTTTGGCATTGCTCTGTGTGTTTAGTTTCTCTCCCTGTTCTCCAGTTAGTTATAACCATTTCTAAGGGTTGACTTGACCTCTGAATCATTATAAAGTCTGGCTCAGGGTCTTCTATGAGGGGTTCATTTTTTATTTACATTAGAGAGCCAGGCAACCCATTTTCTTTCTTTTTGTAGTAATATATCACTCTCGTTCTCATTTCATTTTCTATTCTTGGCACGAAGTTCATTTCATTTTTCTCTTATTGGGACAAAGTTCTCACTCTCATCAAATAGAAAAATCAAGGGGCATACGAAACACTGTAATAAACTTACTTTTGGAATTTTGAGGGTTAATCATGTATTTCTAGTGCATTTTTCTCTGGAGGATAAACCTGATCATTATCTGGAAACATTATCTAAACTGAGGTAAAATTACCTATCTCTTTACTTTAATGTTTATCTTCCACTCTGAGCTATAGAAGGTCAAGTGAAAGAACCACTATTTCTTTTCTAACATTTTCCAATGTTTTCCTAATTGTTATAATATTAACTGCAGCCTAAAAACCACATTAATTTTGCAGTTTTAATTCATGATTTTAGTTTGTGTGTTTCGTGTTTTACTCAGCTTGTAGCAGTAACAGCCAGTGACCCAGAGGATTCTGGGAAGGAAAACTAAGGTTGGGTGTGCATCTATATGTCTTTGCTCACACATTTCACTGTCATATTAAAGATACAAGGTTTGAAGAGGGGCAAGGGGTCAAATATATGTTGATGGAAGAAGACTGGACTTTGGGTGGTGAGCACACAATCGAGTGTAATCTGAAATTTACCTAATGTTATTAACCAATGTTATCCCAATATATTTAATATAAAACATACAAGATTTGGTAGACTAACTAGGATTCTGAAGAATACTGATCAATAAATGTATATGTACATATCTGTTTTTCTTTTTTCCCCTCTAGATTGAGAATAGAAGAATGTCTCCAATTGCTTTACTGCTTATATGATTCTTGTTAAAAAAATTTTTTTAAATAGGCGAAAGGCAAACAAATTAAACATTATTCATTTTAAGATGCAATATTAACATACTGAACATAATTCTTGAAAAAGGTGTAGCCACAAGTTAAGTCGGTTTAGACATGATCCTTACAATTTACTTTCTAAGTTTGAACAGTGAATCATTGTTCATAACTATTACAAATATGCACCCTTCCACATGATAAGAGTCTCTTATTACAACATCCTCAGGAATGGTTCTCATTTATTAACTTGTATTTGTACCCCTTGTTTCCTATACTATTTAAAGTAATTGTGAGTATTATCTGACTTGAGCTTTGACTAATGAATTAATTTAAACATCCCCGTTCTTTCCATGTAAACACCTCGACCTGGAGTTGTGACTGATCTCTAGTTCAGAGATGGCCCCAGAGACTGGTGTCCAGCTTGAACTTTATATTTCTTTCTGCTTGGTTGCACCCGACTTTACCTCTACCTTGTTCATCGTTGCAGCTTCCTCTGAACGTTTTCAATAATTACTTCAGCCTTGGATTTGATGCCCACGTCACATTGGAGTTCCATGAATCCCGAGGTGAGGACAGCATTCCATTTCCATCCCCCTGGGAGGAAGTTTCTAGCAGGTGTTTTGCATGTTCCCTTTTGTTTGCATATCACATACATGTTGACAGTGTGCTTCCATATTTTTTCTTTTTGTTGTTATTGTGACCTCCCTGATGAATCTGGGAGCTAGACAAGATAGGAACTTAATACAAGTAGGACCCTGAGACCATGTTGGTTGGGGTTTCAAAGATGGTCAGAGATGAGACCAGAGGTATGCTTGGGACTGCCACTCTAAATTTGACTAGAAACGTTGTTAGTGAACTACTGAGAAATAATACAGTTTCTTTCACTAAAGTCATTGGGACACTCACAGCTTCTCAAGCTACCAGTTGTTATAGTGCAACATTTAATAACCCAGAACCTTTGAAACCTGGTAGTTAAACAAAGAAGTCCTGCCTATGGGTGCAAAGGACACATCAGGTGTCTTAGGACAATGGGGACCTATAGGTGGTTTGGGTTGAAAGGAAAGGTGTGGGTATGATGATGATTGGATTGGGTTTAGAAGCTGCTACAAGTCCTCACTGGATGAGGGAGGGGAGTGAATAAGGCAGAGCAGTCATCTGAGTACCAATAGAGATGGAGTCAAGGGTTGGGGGAGCAAAGTAATTTTTGAAAGAGAAATAAGATGAAATAATGATGTGGTTCAATATTTCATCAGAACTTCCTTATGTCTTCAGAACTGAGAAAGTGGAGGATTTTTGCTTATGCTTTGAAGCTTTAATCTCTCTCACTTTCTATTAAGCTCTCTTCTTATTAACATAACTAAAGTACCCATCTCTGTCTATGCCTGTATCTATAACTATAACTTTACCTAGTCCCTTGTCAATATGTTAATATATAACCAGAATACTGCTAAGCTGTAAGGTAATAAGTAGTATGTAAGATAAAAGTTACAAATGAGGGATTATTTTTTACCTTTTTTCCTCCATCCAGATTCTGCAAGAGCATACGTGGGTTTTAACTCATAGAATTTGAAAAACAGGGAACCAAAAGCTAGAATTTAAATGTTCCTGTTCCAGTAATAATGTAGGGAAAATTCTGATCACATACTTATGCACTAAAGGTCAATAGTGCAGCAATAGGATGAAGGCTGTTAGAAAATCTAATTTTCTTCATGAATTCAGCGACTATGGTAAACTTTTTCTTCCTGGATTCATGAGGCTTCAGGGATCAAATGCTTTGCCAAATAAAAGCAATACTGATTAAAGAGGGGCTGTAGTTTGGTCGTTCTCTCTGATTAGCCAGAAAATCACCGCTAGAAAGGTTGGTGGATGACAGAACCACAGGTAGCAAATACCCAAATCAGAAACATCACAACCCTCCCATCTCCTTACAATAGACACTTCTTAGGCATGAGATAGTGAGAGGGTCCTACATTGGGGCCAATATTTATAACTGGTTGCCCTTTCTACATTTGAGGAGAGTTAATTTGGGGAACTAAATGGAGATCCCTTTTAATCATGTCTTACCCCATATTTTCCTCCTCATATTCTTTAGGAGACCCTGAATCTGGGCTTTCTAATAAAATTCTTAATTTCTTAGCAATACTTATAAAGTAATACAATTCATTATTGCATGAATCTTCCAAAATAGACATTCTGGAATGAAACGAGGCCTAAGTGAGTAAGTGCCCGACAATGAGCTCATTCAAGGGAACCTAGTATTTGGTCTAATTAATCTGGAAGTTCTCTTGATGATACTTCTGGGCTTCAGAGTGAGAGGAGGCATCAGGGTAGAAGAACCAAGCTTAGAAGAGAATTCTTGCAGGAAAGTGACTTTTAATTTTATTTTGAGCTATGGGACTATTTCATTTTAGAGAGAAATATGCAAATGGTGGTGTATATGTACAGATACATAGTTTTAAATGTGAGTATTGGTTAAAAGATATCAAGCATAAATTTTTGAGTAGTTTATTTCTGAGGCTTAGTTTAAGTGCTTTCATGCGATATGAAACATTTGCCCAGCAGGTAAGCCAGAGCCCTGGAGGAAAACCAGCCCCTGCAAGCTGATAAGGGAGAATTAATGTCACCCAAGAGTAATAGCAACAATTCATGAAGATGATACACAACTGGTACAAAATAAATGTCCACAAAATATTGCAACCAAATTTGGTTGATATGCTCAGACCAGGGATGTGAGCTTCTTAGTATCTGTTAATCTATTCATTTTTTTGCATTAAATGAAATCATTATTTACTATAAACAGTATAATTGGTCACATTCATTTTCTTCTTTTGAAACTGTTTTTTGTTGGTATGGATTTTCCCCATGTAATTTCCGGGATAGTTCAGACATCTCAAACTTGGCTGCCAGGAAAAGGATTTTGAGGCCACATTTTCAGTAAGGGTGAATTCACTTATTTTTCTTGGTAATGAGTGGCTTTTCTCAAGCCAAAAAAATCCCCCCTCCGAGTTAAGACTTCAAACTGTTCTCAGACACAACCACTCACAGTTTGAGACTTCATGATAAAAGTTGTTTGTATAAAATACTTGGAATGTGACTGAAAACCTCATGAGAACCATTGTAAAAATGAGCTTGGATAGAATTACCTATTAGGTATCAATAAAAAAATAATATAGTACATTAAGTTGGGAGTCATGCCAACCAGCCTACATGAAATAGGGAATAGATACAAATCTCACTAAGGTAAAAGTTTAAAAAAACGTAAAGACAGACAATTTTGTGGCATAGTTGTTAAATAGTCCTTCAAATCAATATGGGACAAATGCAGATTATAGCATTGCTACCCATATTATATTTCTTTTAGAATGGGCAAATAAAGTGACATTTGAGAAAGTTTATTAGTGGAATTATTGTAGAAATAAATGCATTTAGAATGATCAGTAGAAAATCAAACAAGGAATTAATATAGTTTTAACACTTTGATTTACTTTACAGAAAGAGTGGAACATTTGAGTAATTTGGGGTTATATATTTGATCAAGAAGATGGTATGCTTCATTTGATTGGAAAACAGATGCTTTCTTATTCTTCTCAACCACTGTTCATGGTTGAATTATTGTTGCTTGGGTATCAGAAACTTTATTCATTTGAACAGAATTTGGAGATATAGTAGAATTGGCCGTTAAATTTTCAGTGGGAGTCTTATTCAGTACTTCTATGATTATTGCATTATGACAGTGCTTGAGGACATACATTGAAATATTTTGATATATAATGTATAGTGATATTAACAATGATTATGGGTATCAAGTGGCAAAGTCAGGTCTCACCCTGCCAGCTGTATGAACTAGATTGTCATTTGCTTTGGATGTGAAAGATATTAAACACATCAAACTTTCAGTCTGAGATTGGATGCTTAAATTTTTCTGCTTCATTGAAATTATTATTATTTTTAAAAAATATATTTTATTGATTTTTCACAGAGAGGAAGAGAGAGAGATACAGAGTTAGAAACATCGATGAGAGAGAATCATCAATCAGCTGCCTCTTGCACACTCCCTACTGGGGATGTGCCCGCAACCAAGGTACATGCCCTGACCGGAATCGAACCCAGGACCTTTCAGTCCGCAGGCCGACACTCTACCCACTGAGCCAAACCAGTTTCGGCTGCTTCATTGAAATTATTATTCAGAGGAGTCAAGCCTTATGTTACAAGGTCAAGGACATACAATTATGACTCTAGAAGAGGCAGTATTTAAATTTGATTTAAGAGTTACTATTTCCACAGAATATATAGAGACATGCAAATCTGCATATTTCAAAGGATTTTGAATGTTTCATGATTCATGGAGAAAATTGACAGGTTTCTTTTTAAAATGTCTTGTTTGCAATGGCTTGCTAAATTTCATTGTTACCATCACTGCAAAGGACTCACTTTCTGGCTTATGTCTAGACTTGAAGGCTCAAGTATAGTTTGCCCTTGAGGAACTCTCATTGTGCCAGATTCTCTGTATGTAACCTTCTTTTCCATCCTGAATTCTCTGCGTGATACCTACTCATCATTCAAGATTCAAGTTTACCTGCTTCTGGAATAATTTCTGATCATTTCCTTTATATGTAACCACCACTTCATTTCATACAGACATATTTTTATAGCATATACAAAATGACATTTTAGTTTTCATTTTCAGACCTGTCTCCTCCACTCCAAACTCCACGAGGGCATAAAACAATGACCCCTTCCTCCCTCCCTCCCTTCCTCCTTCCTTCCTTCCTTCCTTCCTTCCTTCCTTCCTTCCTTCCTTCCTTCCTTCCTTCCTTCCTTCCTTCCTTCCTTCCTTCCTTCCTTCATGAAAGTATATTGTTTACTTTTAAGTATAATAAACTCTTAAATCATCTTTTGCTTAGTTTACTTGAATTACAGTATGTTTCCATCAGAACATATAGTTATGAATTGATTACATGTAGGCATGTATTCCCTATAATAAATAAATCAGTATTACATATTCTAGCAAAATAATTTAACCCATTTTCTTCTCTTTTTTCAATTACAGTTTACACTCAGTAGTGTTTTTTTTTTTTATCAGTTTCAGGTGTATAGCATAGTGGTCCCAGTGCCTAGTGCAGTGACTGTCTCAATAAGTGTTTGCTAAAGGAATGAAATTTTAATTGGAGAGAGAGGTCCGCATACAAAAGGTAACACCGGAAAGACATATAATAGTATAATAAGGGCATAGTTAGTTGTACGGGCAGTAAATAACATAGGAGTTCAGTGGGATTGTTGTCAGGGGAAAGGTGCCTGAGGAAAATTTCCAGATAAAGGAAGAGAAAGGAGGAGTGTAATGTTGACAAGAAATAAATAGGTAAGGGCATTTCAGGCAGGAAAGAAAAAGTACAGAGGGGTTAAATGGCTAGTTATTACATAATGAAAGATTTTTGTGATGGTGTTAGAAAATGAAGATAATGTTGTTAAGAAAATATATGCCCTGAATGGGAAATAATGCTGAAAAAAGCAAAATATTAAAAAAAAAAATACACAATTTACATTGAAGATGCCAATGTGATTGTAGGCATAAATTTTGGAGTCATTTATGTTGGATAAGTATTCACTGAAGAGAATATAAAAAATGTGTGAGTTATATAGGGTTCAAAATGCTTATTGATTTTTATAAATATAGTGTTGAAATTATGTTTATGAACATTTCCCCAATATGCAGGACCAATTACAGGCAAAATAAAGTTTAGGATACCATTCTGATGGCACACATTTAATTGTGTTGTGCATAAGGATGAAATTAATGTGTTAAATCAATGGAATGGAGTGTACCCAGAGTCTCATATCATCATCATTATAAATGAATTACATCCAGAGCCAAATTATCTTGATGATTTAGATGATGGAATTTGTGAAGTTGGAGCTAATGAGACTTAGATGAGATTTTTGGATTTTGAGTTGATAATATAATGGAACGAAACCTTTGGAGACCTTGAAGGGAGTGAATGTATTTTTTATACGTGAAGGATGTGGATCAAGGGAGCCATAGGGTTCATGATGATAAGTATTTTGACCCCCATGACTTTTGTCATTTGGGTCCTGCTTGTTGGTGGTTTTATTTTATTTAGCAAAAAGACTTTGTAGATGTGATGAAGATTAATAATTAGCTGACCTTAAGATAGAAAGATAGGTCTGGATTATTTTAGTGGGACCAGTGCAATAACATGAGCCTCTAAATGCAAAGGTGGAAGATGGAATGGGAAGTCAGCATGATGTGGCAAAAGGAGAAGTCAGATAGATTCAAAGTGTGAGGGGGACTTGGTGTGCCCTTGCTGGCTTTGACAATGCAGGGGTTATCACAAGTCAAGGAATGCAAGAGGCTTCTGGAGGTTGAGGATACACCCTAGCCAAGAGCCAGTGAGGAAAAAGAATTTTATTACTGCAGCTGCAAGGAAATATATGGTGTCCATAACCTGAATGAGCTTGGAAGTGAATCCTTCGCAGAGCCCCTCGCCTTCATTTTGTAGACTGACACCTTGATTTTGGCTTGGTAAGAGCCTAAGCAGAGGACCCAGGAGAGAACCTAGAGAGTTATAAGAAAATCAGTGAACATTTTAAGCTATCAAATGTGCAGAAAACTAATACAATTAATATTGGTATCCAATTGAATAGATTAATGGCATAGAAAAACACAGTATGCTTGGATCCCCCTATCTCATACCCTCTTGTGGAAGAGGAGGACGAAATCTAAGAACTGCAGCCATAAAACATGGGTTCTTCCACTGTTGGGGTCTTCGGGTAGTTGGAGGATCATTGTCTTTCTTAAGAGTGGCCTTTCATGGTTGACTTCATGCCAATTCACAGACACAACTTCCTTAAGGAGCAAGAGATCTTAAGCTTTCTTGGTGGCTCTTTTTCAATTCAGTATGCCTCCTTTCCTTGCTATAGTGGGGTCCACATTCCTTGGTCCTCCTCAAAGTCATATCAGTTCTTATACGTACACAGAGACATGTTCAACCCCTCCATCCCTTCCCTTTAATAGCCAGAATGGTGGGGGACTGTTGTTTGCAGGCACTTGTCTGGCCTGGCTTCTGTAGGGAGCGGCACAACTCTTACACTAGCAAACATTTTCCTGAGCTGCTGCCAACCTTGCTTTTCAGTATGACTTGTGCTTGGAATAGGATAGATGTAAAAATGGAAGAGAGTCCAATTGTCTAGGCAGGCTCAGTTTCGGAGTCAATATAATGTATGGGATGGAACAGGGAGAATAATAGAATATACCTCACACCTTTCCTTCCCCCAAGGCCAACTGCCCTACCTCTTTATTTTTTATCTTTATTTTTTTGTATTTAGATTAATAGTTTTTATTGAGGTAAACATTCACAGAACATAAAATCCACCATGATAACCAATTTATAGTATATACTAGTAATTCAGGGCTTTTAGTATAGTCACAGTGTTGGGAAGCCATCACTATTATGTAATTCCAGAATATTTTCATCACTCCCAAAAGAAACCCTGTCTCCACTGATCAGTACCTCTCCATTTCTCTCTTCTTCTACCCACTGGCAATCATTAATCTGCATTTTGTGGCTATAAATTTGCCTCTTCTGGACATTTCATATCGATGGAATCATTCTGTATGTGTCCTTTTATGTGTCTTGCTGACACCTCTCTAAATGCTAGTGTCTTTCTTGATAGTTATCTAGTTTCTAGAATTATATATATTAAAAAAATCAGCTTTTATTAAGTTAAATTAGATCTGAGGTGACTGTTTTAATCAACTGTGTGAGTAAAATCACCAAAAACTTGGTTTACTTCTTAATTTTAGTCTTTTTGCGTCTTATAGAACAGTGGTCACCAACCGGTGGTCCGTGAAGTCCAAAAGGTTGGCGACTGCTGTTATAGAACATTTTTAATCTTTTGAGAGAAAAAACACACTTTTTTTTTAAGGAAAGAAAAGCATTTTTAGTTCTTCAAGACTCAGGAAAACCTCATGAAGATGTGGGTATTTTCCAAACCATACATTATTTAAAAAGTAAATGTTAATAGTTGGTATATGCTTCATTTAATAGCTTTGGACATAGGTTCCCTAAAAACTTTGTTGCCAGGACTGTGGGTGTCATTTTCTATTTCTCATTATAACTTGCTCAATAGCTGAATCTGACTTTGTTTAAAATGAGGGCCTACGTACCTACAATAAATTGCATGGCAATGAAAATTCTCATTTTGCCTCAGAGTTAATGCAATCGAAAATGCTACCCAGCCAAATCTGGGTCATGAAAGTTAAAAACAGCATGCCATTCAGCAGCCAAATTTATCCTGAAGAGGGTCCAGACCATAGAAAGGGTCAACTCTGGGGCCAGCAATGGGGATCAAGGAGGTAGAGCACTCAGCATCATGTTTACCTCGTTTTGTTTACTGTATCCTATAAGTTAGCCTTTTACCTTTTGTATTGTTTTGTTTCTAGGGTTATAATACTTAATTTGGTAGAAGAGAGTGAATGGTTAAGGAGAGGTTTAAAATAGATGAATATAACTAACAAAAAAAAAACAATCTACAAAAATACCACATTTTTTTTATGTTTGCAAACCTCAACCCAGTTTCTATGTCTTATTTAATATTTGTCACAATCATGAAAATAATCTAACAATTAATTGTCCGGGATTATTTCCTGGGATTTTGTATCTTTTATTCAACCCAGTCTTAGTGAGTGAACTCTGCTACTTTTCTTCATCTAGACAACAACTTTTGGGATTTGCCATTCAAAAATAGGATTAGGACTTGGAGTTTCAGCTAGTCAGCCAGTCTAATGAGAAATGACTTGGAGGAGTCTTAACTCTGAGAAGGGATTAATGAGCATGCTGAATAAAATAGCAGATGGCAAAAGATCGGCAGTGAGGAATGTAAGAAAATAATACTTCATTTAGATATTTTATAAATTCCTTGAATTCACATAATAAAAATTTTCTGACACAGGTTCTTGTTTAATCTTTTTTCTCCCCTCAACATATATAACATATAGCAGCACTCAAAATTAAACACTTTTTTTCAGCCAAATCCTATGCTGAAATATGGCCTGTGTCCATTTAGTCAGTGATCTGTATGTATGTATGTGTGTGTGGGGGTGTATATATATATATATATATATATATATATATATATATATATATATATATATATGTTTCTCCCCCCCCCCACTAAATCAAGTTATTTTTCAAGGCCTGTCACAAATAAGAATGCAAATGGTAGTTAGGAGTTTTTGCAAAACCTGAAAGCAAATTCTCCATTAATTTTTATCTGAATTCTCCATATTTAATTACATTTGGAAGCAGAATACATAGTTTATGGAAGCCATGACCTATGGAGGTCAAAGCAAATAATCCCCCCTCCCTCTCCTGCTCTCTCCCCCTAACACCCCTGCCCTGTATCCCTGCCAATGTTCTACCCTGAATAGAGCCCAGAGTGTTTCAGCCTTTACTGTGCATGGGAATCACCTGGAGAGCTTGCTAAACCAGAGTCCTAAACCGCACACCCTAGACATTCTAATTCCGCAGATCTATTAGGGGTAGATCCTAATAATTTGCATTTTTAACAATCTCCCAGTGGATGCTGATGCTGCCAGTTTGTGGCTATGTTTTGTAGCACTGGACAACGATGACCTCTGTCTGTAACTAAGGGGAAGATGATACTGAAGCCAGTGGGTCTATTGGATCTGTGAGGGGAGGAAGTAGGGATGCTAGGTTAAGTCACTACCTTCAGTAAGGTCTCCAGAACAAAACCACCCCTTTCCTTTCACAGAAGCAAATCCAGAGAAATTCAACAGTCGTTTTCGAAATAAAATGTTCTATGCAGGGGTAAGTATATATTTTATTTTATAAATTATTACATATTATTTAGTGCTAATTCACTGTTGGTCATGTAGATGCCAACTGTACTAAAACTAATGGCAAATACTTTTCAGATGTTTACATGTAGGTCTATGTACGGTTCATGTTTAACATGTTGGTTTAAGAAAAAAAGTGAGGATGTCTGTCTTAAGTTAGTTGGCAAAAAGAGAGCTGGTGCCATCATCTTTGAACTGAAGAGCTCTGAGACTCCATGTTGTCCTAAGGGGATGATATCTAATGAATAATGTGAAAAACAAACCTCAGAGGCAACCTAGAGAATGGGAAATTAGGTAGACTGAAAAGTGTATGGAGAGTCTTGGGTAAGAATGCAGTTTTCACAGGGGTCCGTATGCGTCAGTGTCTGGATGAGAAATTGGCAGAGCACGGAAGTATTTTATGGAAGCATATAGGAGATTAAAGGGGCAGCATCTTTTTCTTTCTCCTCCTGCTGAAGGACATACCTTGAGGTGAATGGCTGGAAAGAAAAAAAAATACCTCCAAAATATTGATATTAAAAATAAGTGTGGTTTAAATTTATACCACTGGGTAGAAGGAATGGAATGGGGTGAGGACAAGACATTCTCAGGATGTCAATGGCGAAGTCAAAGCAGGGGGCCAAAATAAGTTTTTAAACTGACTCTCAGAATTATCTAATTTTTTACTCTCCATCTGTGATATTACATTTTCTTAAAGCTTAACATTTGAAAAAAAAAAAAAAAAACTCGACTTGACAGCCACTACACTGCTGTATTTTGGATTCAGCAAATTATATTTTTGCTTATTTAGCATCATTAGAAACTATATAATACAGAAGCAGGGATTTGGCATAATAGTGTAATTAAGTTTTTTTCTCTTTATTTCCTTGTGGTATAGGCAGCGTTTTCTGATTTCCTACAAAGAAGCTCTAGAGATCTATCCAAACACGTTAAAGTTGTTGTAAGTACTGAATGTGTTGACTCATCTCATTTGAATATGAATATGGATGCCACAAAAATGAAGTCCAAACACCAGCTTATACTTAGCTTAATCAAGGCTCTGCACAGAACCAGAGATCATTTAGTGTCATTCATTCAGCCAGTGTTTATGAGCATTTAACTATGTGCCAGGCACTGTCTTTATTGCTGGGGATGAAAATAAGTAAGATGACTGGTTTCACTCATAAATAAACACACAGTTCAGTCATGGAGAACAATATAATAAGTATTGTCATTCAACTGTGTATGTGATGGGGTGCTGGCCCACAGGGAGACATGAAGGCTAACTATGGTGGGGTCAAGAGAAATCTTTAATAAAGAATTGATGCTGATCTGGGTCTCGAGGTAGTAAGGGATGCTCAACAAACAAATGTCTTTATTCCAGGATTGTCCGGAATAAGTTTGCATTTTAGCATTTTAGAAAAGTGCTTTGCTCTTTCTCTAACCTGTTCTCTCTCTCTTTTTTTAAAAATCATCACAAGGTTTTATTGTTTTGAGAAAGTTTTACGTGCTTGTTTTACAGGGAGTGTGGAAGGCGGGGAAGGGGAGAGACACACATAGAGAGAAACATCTAAGAGAGACAAATTGATTGGTTGCCTCTGCATGCTCCCCGACCCAGAGAGAGGAGTGAACCCGAAACCCAGGTACATGCCCATAATGGGGAATCAAACTTGCAACCCTTTGGTGCATGGGCCAACACTCTAACCCCTTGCACACCGGCCAGGGTGATCACATCCTTTGTTATGAGGAGAAAAATACAGAAACCAAGTCTGGACATTTGGGATTCAATCTTAGGTCTCTCTTTGTGTGAGGTATATGACTGTGGGGGAATCATCGAACCTTCCAGAAAAGTTTACTTTCTCCATTTAAAATAGGCATAGCAACACATGTCTTTAAAGTGTCAATTATCGATCATTGTGCTGTGACACAGAGGGTATTTCTCCAATAAGGTCACTGTATGCTCTCTTGAGTGTGAGATAGGAAGGATGGAAAGTTAGCTAGCACAATTAGATGTACATATCACAACAGAACATCTTGTCTTTGCCAAGGGTAAAGTCAGTGTTTCTGAGGCAGTAGATACTGATCTCTTACATAAATGTAAAATGTATGTATAAATACTACACCAGAAAAACAGAGGACAGTAACACAAACCTGCATAAGGCCCTACTTCTGTTTTCTTCTTATTGTGTTGACATCAATATGTTAGCTTGTCCACAGGATATATTTTACAGGTAGGTATTTTCTTTTGTATATGAAGTAAGGAAAAATTTGAAAACTGCTATTCTAAGGAGTCATAAATTTAAATGCAATAAAATGTAAGGAAGCTGTGTAAAGCATGATACATCATAAGGTGCCCAATTGTCATATAATTTGATGATTGCCCAGAATCAGTGACATGCTTCCCAGAAGAAAAAAAAGTTGAAAATGAAAAAATATTTCTTTTAAAAATAATAACAGTAAGTATTAGTGTTTTTTTCTGAATGCAGCAATACTACTTTGCATGCTATTAATGTATCACATTCTATTTTTTTTTAAATTTTAGCTGCTTACAAAACTCAATGTTGATAATTTAAGATGCTTATATATTTTTTTTTCATCAGTGTAGTCATCTATCAACTCATTTCAGACCCTTAAATAAATTGGGAGACTTCGTGTTGGTTTCATATCTGAGAATATTGCAAAAACACCTTCAATCAATGTCTAGAATATGATTCCTATCTAAAATGCATTTTAAATACTTTATTTAGGACTGTGAGATTTGCTGGAAACAACTTTTGTGAATGCTCAGGAAAATTAAGCTATATTAAGATCAGTTGGGAAAGAGAGACACCCCTTGATCGCTAGCAACTCCTCCTTAAGAAATCTTTAAAAGTTTGCCCACAGCTTGTCATGTTTTATGCTTTCCTCACTGGAGAAGATGCTGGGGGAATTTTGTGATGAGGGTGTAAAGAGAGCTAATATAAAAGCAGGCTCCATACCTTTGACATTGGGAAGTCTATAGCCGTGACTAGTTTTCCTCTTTTGACTTTTGTCACCAGGGTAAATGAGAAAGGGGAATAAAGCTTTTTCTTTGAAAGTCAGAGGATACTCTTGAGGAAAGCCCTAGAGATGAGGGAAACCACACCAAAAGGTTTGAGGTCATGCTGGCCTGAGGCCCTTGAGACCCAGAGTCAAGTCCAAACTCCAGTAAAGCAGGTGATCTCAGAAGAACAAAGCTATAAGAGATTAATTTTATAAGAGCTAATCATGAGTGGAGATTATGCTAATTTATAATAGATTGTGAAAAGCTTGTCTTCCAAACAGTTTTCAAAGTATTGTGTTTAACATTTTCAAAATAAAATTCAATCACAAAAACCAATCCAAAGAAATCCCATTCATGACTATTGTTTTAGTCGGAAGACTGTGGGGAAGGTCCCTAATGCCTCAACTTAAGCATCATTTTCTTCAGTCTTTTAAGCATTTCTAGATCTTTTAATGCTAATACTACAAGACTGAATATCTAATAATAATCTAAGGTTAAGAATGAGGGTAGTTCCTGTGTCTAGTAAAGCTATGAGCAGAATATATTTTCAGTCATAAGTAATGGGCATTGACTTAAGCAGAGATGGGTCAATGGGAAGATCATGATATGTACTGTTGTCAACACAGTATCTCTGTTCATTTTTTTAGACTTGTGACTATTTCAAAACCCTTGCTTTTTCTGCTTTGATTGTTTCAGTGTGATGGAACAGATCTCACCCCAAAGATTCAGGAACTGAAGTTCCAGTGTATAGTATTTTTAAATATACCCAGGTAAGCTCTGTTCGTACATTTTCTTGGTTTGATGTGAACTCTATTTGACTTGAGGTTATCTGTTTTCATTATAGAATATTTCCAGGTACAAACAATGAAAATCAGTTTTCTCAGTGGCTTACTAAAATTTTCTAGGTCTGATCATTCTGTTCTCCTACTTGGTTTGTTTAGTATTCTCTGTGGTAAGTGTTTTTTGTTTCTTCAGGAGGGAAAAATTTTTTTTTTGCATGATATGGCATTCGTGGTCTATACTTATCCATTCTTGAAAACCCCAGGCATCCCTCTGGATTGGAACTTTCAATTTAATTTAATTGTCAATTTAATGATCCCTCACCCCCCAGGAATGGTAGACTTGAATACATTCCTGTCCTCAGTTTTCTGAAAGCTGTTAGGTACTATCCAGTCTGATTTCAGGACGGAATTCATTCAAAATCATTGCCAGATGATTGTTTCGAAAAAATAGGATCAATTGGAGTAGGATTTTCTAGCCAGGATGTCAACTCACTTTGGTGTTATTATATACCTCAGGAGAAAGGGGTGTTTGAGATTAACTACTCTCAAAATAAGCATATAGCTCAGTGGCATAACATTAGATTCTGGGCTCCCAAGCCAAGATGTTGGAAGGGATGGATCTGTGACCCTTTGTTACTTGCATCCAGACAACTCAGACAGAATCCCTGCAAATAAATGCTGTTTTGACTGGATTTAATTAAACCAAGAATTGTATATAAATCTGTGGTTAGAAAGCAATATTATAGTCCTTTGATTGTTTTGGCAGTGCTTGGTAGAGTTACTTACAATTCTATTCCAGAAGTATTTTCATCTTAGTTGTTTAAACAGAAGACCTAGAATCTCAGGAAATATTAGCTTGCTTTCTTTTTCTTTCTGTTTTCTGTACATTCTCTTTCATTTTGCTTCTTTCCCTTCTCTCTTCTGGATTCCTAGTCCTCTCCTTTTTCATTTTTATTTCCCTTTCCCTTTCTAATATATTTTTAATCCCTTCTTCACCCTTTCTTTCTTCTTAGATAATCTTTCCCTTGTGTTGTGAGTGCTTATTCTCTTCATTATGTATACAATATTGCTCTGTAGGCACCTATTCTCTTAGTTATGCATATAATATTGGTTGCTTACTTCAGTTCCCTTCCCTTTTTCTACTGGCTGGCATGCATCTGTCTTCCTCCAAGACCAAATTCTGAAACCAACCATTGATAATTCATGACATATCATAAAATGCAGACATATATGGATCATAGAGTGATAGTATTGATAAATAATGAATTAGGAGAACGTTGGGCATCGTGAAATGCTTTTGTTGTAAGATCATGCTCTTTTTCAGATTGGTATTTTAAAGATAATGGTTGAGTCCATTTTGTTTTCCTTTGGAAGGTGTGCACCAAGAACAGAAATGTGTTCTTCCATGAAATAAACATTGGATCTAACTATAAGTGCATCCCTAATGATGGTCATGAGAAGAATGGAATAAATTTAATTCTGCTCTTAATCTTACCTTTTCAGATATTGTGCTGGCACAATGCCCTGGGGGAACCCAGGGGATCACCATGATTTTGAACCTCAGCGTCATGATGATGGCTACATTGAAGTGATTGGATTCACCATGGCCTCTTTGGTGAGCAATACAACCATTAGAGAAAGATAAATACCATATGATCTCACTTATATGTGGAATCCGATGAACAAAATAGAAACAAAGGCATGGATACATAGAACAGATTGACAGCTGTTGGTGGAAAGGACTGGATGAAAGAAGGTGAAGGGATTAGCCAAATGACATATAGGCATAACCCATAGACAGACAACAGTGTGGTGAGGGCCAGAGGGAAGGGGGGCCGGACTGGGTAGAGGTGGGCAAAGGCAGGGAAATAAAATAAAATAAATTAAATTAATACAATGTATTTTAGCTACAGTTAGAGTTTTTCCATTTCATGGAATTTTGGTATAATTTTTTCTTTATCAATTTATAAACTTTATGCAACGTCAGGTTGCTTGCAGAAAACCAGAACAAAAATTAATTCTTTATGTCACTAAGAAAATTGATGCACATTTGTTTGAGCTTCAAAAATAAAATTTGTTAATTTTCCTAATTAATTCTACCAAAAAGGAATGCAAAGTGTTCATGTTAATTAAAAAGGATTTTGCCACAGACATATCTCAGCATGATACAGAAACAGTGCTATTTGATATTTTTAGGTGTAAAGGAAAGTGATCATTTGCATATATATATATATATATATATATATATATATATATATACTTTTAAATATACTTTATTGATTTTTTACAGAGAGGAAGGGAGAAGGATAGAGAGCTAGAAACATCAATGAGAGAGAAACATTAACCAGCTGCCTCCTACACACCCCCTACTGTGGATGTGCCCACAATCAAGGTACATGCCCTTGACCAGAATTGAACCTGGGACCTTTTAGTCTGCAGGCTGATGCTCTATCCACTGAGCCAAACTGGTTTTGACATCATTTGCATATATTTTCAACTTTTTAAGTATAAGATGGGTATCTCCTTTATCACAAAATTCTTGAATATAGAATGGCATCACTTTTGTAACATTAATTAATATTCAATTTCCACAGTATTGAGATCACCTTGTATTTTCATTTTGTTTGCTTGAGTAAAAAATACGTTTATATCAAGTAAGTGTAATTTCAAGCAGATTTTAGCATGTATTCAACTTACTTAATGATGAGGAAATCAATTAAAATTATGCTTATCATTATATCTGGTGTAAATTAGACCACACCGTTAGTTTACAAAACAAATGAAAACAAAGCTTCTACTTGCAACCCTTGGTTAGTACTTGGTTTGTGCCATACCTTATGTTTGAAAGCAAACAGCTTGTATTTCCTGTCTTAAACAAACTAGAACAGTCCTCTTTTTTACTCATCTCATGGACTTCAATCACTTCAAAATACTGAGACTTAACAGAATAACTTATTGTGACTCTGGCAACAATACCCATTACCTGAAATAGTGATTTTGCTGATTCAATCTGCCACATTTAGAGTGAGATAGTTGTTAAGTGTAAAGGATTGGTCTGGAATTGGTCTAATGTTCAGGACTGCAGCTCATGCACAGCTCTTTCTCTCAAAGGATTTTTATGCTAATTATAGGAAAAGGCTCAGTCAACCAGGAACAAATAGGAATAAAGTTCAAGATGGACGTGTGCAAGAACAGATTCTTGGAGTTGACCAAAAATGCCCCAAACCTGGCCGTGTGTATTTTACTCATTCATTTATTCACTGCTTTAGTGAACATTTATTGAATGTGTGCCATGTGCCTGAGCTTTCTAGTCCCAACTGTGTGGTAGAAAGCTGTCAGGGAATAGTTATCTAAGAGAAGGTGATTGCTTACGGAGGCTTGGGAGGGCAGGGAGAATATTAGACATGTCACCATTGCTCTCAGGATCAAAATCTAAATCTTGACTTGGCCCTGCAAGATTGTGCTTCTTTGATTCTCCTGCCTTTCCCACTGCCCTCTTTGTTTTCTTCCTAAGTAGCCTCTGTAGCGTTGGACCTTCCTTGCTGCTTTTGCACCATGAGGCCATTGTACATGCTATCACTCTCTGAAACATTCCTCACTCGTCATCTTCTATAACTTTTCAGTCCATATCTGTGTCTGTTTTTTAACTAGTCTTTTGGGGTTTGTGTTGTTTTTGCTTTTAGTTGTTTAATTAGCACATGAACAGGGAAGAAAAGTCAGACTAAAATTGGGTAATTAGAGGAGAGTGTAATGGAAGGACTACACATTGTGCACTAGGTTTATGAGAAGCAACAGTGGATGGCGCTGTATCCCTGAGCTGAAGGTGCAAAAGCAAGGAAGCATTCACCTGTACCAGAAAGAGAGCTGTTTGGCAAGCATCACCTGAGAGTCATATTTGCTAAGTGGAAGCAACCAGCCTGTGCCAACGTGGCAGGGAGGGAGCTGGGAGAGAAAATACAGTGATCTCACTCTTCTTATCCTCCGGGCCTCCTGCTGGTGCTTCCCCAGGGGGAAGTTTAATCAGAAGCTAGAGGACAGAGGAACCACTGATAACAATATAAATGGGTTAATCTCACAGGGCCAAAAGAGGGCCGAGAAGAGTAGAGTGCCAGCTGGGAGTGGCAAATGCTAGCTATCCATCACTCCAGTGTATCCTTCCCTGACACACAGCAGAGAGCCTACCTATCGTTGACAATGAGTGGATGTGACAGAATGAATGAATTTTGCCAGGAGAAGCAGCATGGAACTTGACATTCTGGAAGAAAGGGAAATTTATATACACTTGGAAATATGAGATATCATGGTCCTCTGTGGGAATGATAATTAGCTTCATATAGTGTAAATATAGGTGAAAAGTGAGAGTGATAGATGATGCTGAAGAGGCAGGCTGGGCCAGCTCATGGAGTGCATTGTAGAGTTTATGTAGGAGTTTTGACTTTATTTCAAGGTGCGTGGGGGAATTATTAAGTGTGCTTTTAAAATATTTGTTGTGGGGAAAGTTCAAAATAAACAAAGATGAAATAATATGTTGAACTCTCAGGTACCATCACTTAGCTTCTATTATTATCAATTCATGGACAGTCTTATTCCTGTCCCCACCATGACCTCCTTCCTTATATTATTTTGAAGAAAATCTCAGGAATTATATAATTTTATCCTGTTATCTATTGAAGGACACTTTAGTGTGTTTTAATGTGTTTTAAAAACATAAGACTTTCCTTTATGAATACAATCACATAATCTTCTCTAAAAAACATTAAAATAGTTGCATCTATCACTAAATAGCTACTCACTGCTCAAATTTTCAGTTGTCTCACATTTGCTTTTTGTTTTCTTATACTCTATTTGTTTGAATCAGAATCCAGATAAAATTCATTCATTGTGATTGGTTGATATGACTCTTAATTCTCTGTAAGTCCCCACCCATCTCTTCTTCCCCTCATTGATTTTTTTGAAGAAACCAGACTATCCTGTAAAGTTTCCTGGAGTCAGAATTGTGCTGATAACCATGAGGTATCAATTAACATGTTCTCTCATCCTTGTTTCCTCTAAGTTGATAGTTGGATCTAGATAAAGCAGACATCCTCCCCAGCCCTCCATAAATCTATTTTGTAGGTAGTATTTTCTTTTTCCAAAATAGCATTGGTAATGTCTGGTTATTCTCTCTTTTTTAAATAGTCTTTGATGATTAATGTCTGGATCCACATTTCACTGGAAGTTAAAAAGTTGATATTCTGATTTTATTCTTCCTTATTTATTGGTTGGAATCTACATATATAAAAGCTTAAGTGACTGTTACCACTGATCAACTGGTTAACAGGTCGCTATGATGTACACTGACCAGCAGGGGGAAGACGCTTAACACAGGAGCTGCCCCCAGGGTGGTCAGTGCACTCCCACAGCCAACTTCCTGTGGCCAGCCAATCTCCCAAAGTCCTTCCCCCGGACCAGCTCCAATGGGCCCCAATCAGGACTGGGTGAGATGGCCCCAATATGCCCTCATCGCCGGCCCAGCTGAGGGACCCTACCAGTGCTCGAATTCATGCACTAGGCTTCTAGTATTTTTATAGGGAAATTTCTCTTCACCTACCATTTTGTTACTTCTGTATATAGTTTGTGTTAGAAAAGCAGACTAAGTGATCTTTTTCTTTATTTGTGCATTTTAAAATAGTAAGTTAGATCACTAGCATCCTCTGATGGTTACTGTGGTTATAGAATGACCTCAGATTTGGGGCACTTCTTCTATTAAGAGTCTGGGTCTGTGTATCCTCCCCTTGAATCTGGGTGGACTTGCGAATACTTGGGAAATTGGATACAGTGAAAGTGCTTATGTATAATTTTTGAGGCTGGATCATTAAAAATGAATGCAGCTTATGTGAAATATGGGCAATATTAATGGTCTCTAATTAATAGAACTCTATAAATTCAGGGTAATTGTTACTTAAGATGTCTTACTGCTTCATTCATTTAATATCAGTCATGGATGTTTATTGAAAATTTGTTGAATCCACAAATATTTTATTGAATCCATAAATGACACTCTTCTAGGTAAAACTGTTTTGAAATGAACCAAAACAAAATGCCCACAGTACTCAGAGTGCCTACAGTTCTGTGCTGTGGGCGTGGGTGAAGGAGTAAACAAGCAACCACAGTCTGATTTGATAAATTCTAGGAGAAAGGCATGAGTGAGGAGGGAAAGGAGGATTGAGAGCAGAGCAGTGTTTATAAAATGGGACGTCAGCAAAGATTTCCCAGAGGAGGCAGCTGTCTCTGAGTGAGAGTCCAATGGCCATTTCATGGAGGGTCTAGCCTGGAAGATATGTGTGCTAGAACTGCTAATGGTGTCCAGCGTGACAATATACATGATGAATTAAGATATAGATATAGAGACAAGGTAGAAATAGTAGTTTTTAATTAAATTTATTGGGGTGACAGTGGTTAATAAAAATTTTATATGATACATCATCCATACTTTGAACTGTGTGTGCTCACCACCCAAAGTTAAGCCTCCTTCCATCACTATACATTTGACCCCCTCTACCTACCCCCTTTGTGTCTGGTGACCACCAAACTGCTGTGTATGTCTATGAGTTTTTGTTTGTTTGTCCATTTGTT